TTCTTCCTATTTTGCATTATCGATTATTCATTCTAATCATTGGTACATTTTAGGTATACAACATAATGACATTCATCACTGGAAACTTGCACCCTTACACAATCCCTCCTGGTTCCTATTTTTCACTGTTGCCCAGCCCTCCCCCCTCAACCCCTCCACACCTCCCCATTTACGAAGATTCTGTTCCCATTTTTCCATTTTCTCACATTAATTCATGAAATTATTTTTATTGTAATACTGAATATACTGTATGTCCACATGCAGCTATGTATAAACTCAAATATATTGCTCTTAACTATAAAAGCAACTTATTTTACAAATTAAATGTGAACAAAACTACTAAATAAATTTGAATTACTGCTACAGCATAATGTAAATTTTCTCAACTTTGGCACTGTTGGCACTTGGTCTGTGTAAATCTTCATCATAAGGGCTGTCTTGTGCACTGCAGGATGTTAGGCAGCATCTGTGGCTCAGCCCTCTAGATGCCAGTAGCATCCACCCAATATGACAACCAACAAGAAGCAAAATTGCCTCTGATTGAGAAACACAGATCCAGTGTGACATAGAATATTGTTTTGCTGAAACTAAATTGGGAACATTGAGTTTATCTGATTTTGTTAATTCTTTTATGTCTGAATGCTAGCATAGTGTCTGGGATATAGTTGGTGTTAATTAAAAGATGATTGATTCTCCAAAAACAAGTGTTTTAAAGGACAATAAGCACATGAAAAGATGACTAGCACTAGAGAAATCAAAATCAAAATCACTGTGAAACACAACTTCATATCCATTTAAGATGGCTACTACTGGGGCCGGGGATTTAGCTCAGTGGTTCTGGCGCCTGCCTCGCAAGCAGAAGGTCCCGAGTTCGATCCCTGGTACCAAAAAAAAAAAAAAAAAAGATGGCTACTATTTTAAAAAGTATCAACCATTGGTGAGGTTGTGGAGAAATGAATACACTTCTCCATTGCTGGTGGGAAAATAAAATGGTGCAGCCACTGTGAAAAATGGTATAGCAGTTCCTTAAAAAATTAAACAATTGATTCAGTAATTCCACTTCTGGGAATGTACCCAAAAGAAGTAAAATTAAGGGCTCAACAGACATTTTTACACCCATGTTCACAGCATCTATTCACAACAGCCAGAAGGTAGAAGCAATTGAAGCATTCATTAAGGAGTAAGTGAATAAAGTAAGTGTGGTATATACATAGAGTCGAAAGAAAGGAAATTCTCACATATATTGCAATATAAATGAACCTTCAGGATGTTATGCCAAGTAAAATAAGCCAGTCAGAAAAGGAAAAAATTATGTGATTCAACTTCCATGAGGTAACTAATGTAGGCAAATTTATAGAAACAGAAGTAGAACTGTACTTGCCAGGGCTGGGAGAGAGGAGAATGGGGAGTTAATGGGCACAGTGTTTCAGCTGGGGTAAATGAAAAAGTTCTAGAGATGGATGGTGCATAACAGTGTGATATGATGAATAGTTGCACAACAGTATGACAGTGCTTTAATGCCCCTAAACTTTATGTTTAAAAATGGCTAAAATGGTAGATATTATGTCATGTATATTTTACCACATGTTTAAGAAGTTGGCTAAAAGAATACATTTTTCCAGTACTTTTTTCAACTTAAACTACTATGAACCTTTTTTGTATTATACTAAGCTATCTTTTGACCTTCATTTAAATTAAAAATACAAATGTGTGCTACCTTTTCATCACTGTGACAAAATAACAGCTAGAAACAGCTAAAAGGAAAAAAGGTTTATTTTGGCTCACAGTTTCAGAGGGTTCAGTCTGTGGTCAGCTGTGTTCACAGCTTTAGGCCAGTGATGAGGCAGAACCATTATGGCGGAAGGGTGTGGCAGAGGAATGCTGTTCATCTCATGGCAGCCAGAAAGCAGAGAGAATGAGCCAGAAAAGTATCTGGGAGCCAGATATAGTCCCCAGGGTTATACCTCCATGATCCACTCCCTTCATTGAGCCCCCACCTCCTTTTTCTGTCATTTTCTAATAATGCCATCAGATTATGCTCTCATAAGTGGATTAACCCACTCATCAAGTTAGAGCCCTCAAGATTCAGTCACCTTCCTAAAGCCGATTCTCTGAACACATGAGCATTCTAGAGGACATTGTAGATCTGAACCTCAGCAAAATGTAAATATAAATAAATTTATGTGACCAGTTATAAGGTGTTTTTATGTATTTAATTATTTGTATTAATGTTAGATTTTTATTGGAGTGAAAACAAAATTTTAAATCTCAGAGAGGATTTATAAAGCCTGACAATATGTCTGAGAAACGCTTGGGGTCTGCAGACCCCTCTTTGAGCAATATTTCTGATGAGACTTTGCTGCAGCCAAGTGGAAACCCACATCTCCTTCTGGGCTGTACCCAGAAGACTGCGATGATAACAGGTAACAGACTCCTCCCCCGGGCAGGCTAACTCATTGTTAGTGCATACCATTTTGTATTGTTTGAATTCCATATGGTACCTATTTTAATAAACAAGCAGTTAGATTGAGATGTTTGGAAATACTTTTGCTACCAAAATTCACCAACCTTAAGTGGGTATCTTAAGGAAAGAAAAATAGTAAGGAAAAGGTAGATAGTGTGAAGCGTTTGAAGTATCCCAAGAATGTAGGGCAGTGACTAGAAGTCATCCATGTTTTTGTCATTGTCTCTTTTCTTACAGGTGTCGCAGGATTTCCCATTTCTCCACCCCAGTGAGACCAGCGTCCTGAATCGACTCTGCCGGCTTGGCACAGACTATATCCACTTCACTGAGTTCATTGAACAGTACACAGGCCATGTGCAGCAACAGGTGGGACCCTGTTCTGGCATGTATTTCCCTTAGAAGGCAGGAACTTTTGTCACACTTAGTGAGCTCGCTGCGGAGCCATATGAAATAAATGAGGAATTTCTTGTCACTGGAAATACTGCAGTGAAAGCAAGGTCTCTAATAGTTTTTTTGTATGTAAAAGGGAGAAAAAAGCCTGTGCTGTATTTTGATGACTGTGTGATTTTATCTTATGTGATGTGTGAATTCCCACCTTCCCAAATTCTAGATACCTATAGTACCTCTTTTCTTTTTTTTTTTTTTCTGTTTTTGGTACTGGGAATCAAACTTAGGGCCTTGCACTTGCCAGACAGGCACAAGTACCTCCTTTTTTTGAAAAGTAAAAAACATGCTTCTTTCCTCTTTAATTTTGTAATAAATGAGATTGTTCAGTTTTCTGAAATGACACGAAACCAGGACAAAATTGGCTGGTTGTAAGCCAGTCTGGTCGTCTGTTTCACCTGTGTCCATGCTGCTCTTAGTGTAGCTGTGTTTATTTTCAAGAACTGCCAGCATCCTTTTGCAGTGTCCTCTAGCTATACCCTGCTTTCTAACCCCTGAGCCCAAGCCTCCTACCACATTTGTGGCTGAATTCTGTTGTCCAGCCAACTACCCCCAAGGCTTGATCACGCAAACCCATTCATAGCCAGAAAAGCTGTTCATCCATTGTAGCCTTTAGTCAGCTGTTAACCACAGTTGTTCCCCATATAAGCTTCCATAAGGTCCTACCAAAAGAAAAAAAAAAAGGATTTACTGGTTTCCAAAAAGATAACCTGTATTTGGATATAACCCATGATGTGAATCTCTCAGCCCCCCAACATTGGTCACCAGATTTGTATTCTTGGTGAACTGCTAAGTCAGGCAGGAAATGGGAGGTTAGGAAGGCTTGAGTTCATTTTTTATTCAGTGAAATATTTATCTGGTTCAAAGGATTATACTAAGAGCTGAGATACAAAGATGAGTCAAGTATGGTCCTTACCTTTATGAGGCTTGTGCTCTAGTAAGGGTGACATCTAAAGAAAAGTACAATTCGAGCATTAAGTAGAAATGTTACGAAAGTAGCAAGGTAGAGTGGTTAATCCCCTAGAGAGTTAGAAAGGACTTTGTGGAGTAATGCATTCAGTTACAAGGTCCTGCACAGCAGTCAGAGGAACCAGAGAGAGAAGCAAGGCACAGCTGGTGAACTTCCGGGAGTCTGACAATGAGGTACAGCTGGAAGCTGAAAGATGATTTTGGAGAAATGGAGATGGGCCAGAGGAATTTGGATGTTACTTTGGCAGTGGAGAGCCACCGAAGGGTTTTAAGTTGGAAACAATAAGATCAGAATTAAGTTGTAGAGAAATCTGCACTGACATAGAGTACTGTCTGCTACATTGGGAACTGCTTGGAAAACTGAAATATTGTCACATTTTAAAAGGTCAAAGGAGCTGGGCATAGTGGCACATGCCTGTGATCCCAATGGCCTGGGAATCTGAGACAAGAGGATCACAAGAGTAAGCACAGCCTGAGCAACTTAGTAACAATACCCTGTTTCAAAAAATGAAGAAGTTCTAGGGATGTAGCTCAGTGTAAAGGTCCTAAGTTCATTACCCAGTACTGTAAAATAAAATTAAATTAAGGGTCAGAGGAAAAGCTTTATCTTCATTTGAGTTTTCTTCTCACTGAAGCATTGCTTTGATATGGAATTATTACTATTATTATTATTTTTTGGTACCGGGGATCGAACTTAGGACCTTGCACTTTTGAGGTAGGTATGGTGCCGCTAAGCTAAATCCCCAGCCCCTGATATGGATTTAAGCAAAAACATACCACTAGTAACAGATAACGTCTCCCTCCTTATCCCTCCAGGGTTAATGTCAGCTCAGGTTTAGGACCTGAGCTAAGAAGTTGACTTCTGTCTGTTTGATTTCAGGATCACCACCCTTCACAGCAGGGCCAAGGCGGGTTACATGGAATCTACCTAAGGGCCTTCTGCACAGGGCTAGATTCTGTTTTGCAGCCTTATCGCCAGGCACTGCTTGATTTGGAACAAGAGGTAAGAAAGAAAAGATGTGAGAAGCAGTACCTCTGGCACAGCAGATTAGATTATACTCTTGAATTTGAAATGCCCTTTGATAAGGTCAAGTGGAGCAGGTACATTGTTCCATCTTTGATTGCCCAAGCAAGAATCAAAATTGCTTATAGATCATAGCAGAAGCTCATGAGTTTAGAAGAGCTCTGGCTTGGGTTTTTTAATCCCCTAAAATATAATAGCATACAAATTAGCAGTTTTCTATAGCCTACAACTAATACCAAGCCCATTCTCAGATTCTTTTTTAGTTTTCATAGATTAAACTGGTTCAAGGTATTTTGTATGGAGCCCTAATCAGATTTTGTTTTTAATTGCAGTTCTTGGCTGACCCCCATCTCTCCATATCACACGTCAATTACTCCTTAGATCAGGTATGCTGCCCAAATAACAAAATGCCTTGGAATTCATTGATATTGTTAGAATAACTTTCAGGAGCTGATCAGACCGTCAGTTACCTGTAGAGAGGACAACGGGGAATAAAAGAAAGAGACAGAAACAATATTCAGGGTACAAGGGAGACCAGGAGGAATCTGCCTGTAGTGAACAGGCCCGACAAACTCCGAGGTGGGCCCACTTTTATTAGCCAGTGAGAAGCTCAAGGGAGGGGTAGTATACTTTTCCAGGAACAGTGACTGCAATAAGATTAGGGTAGCAAAATAGAGAACAAGTTTAGCATCTCAGAGGGAACAAATTCAGGTCCTTCCCCATACCTACATTCTGCATTTTGTATTGTCCTCCTCAGATGCTATTTTGCCTCAGGAGTGCTGTGCTTACAGCTTTCCCACACAGCCAAGAAGTCTGCAGCCTTTTGCATACTTCTCTGTTCCTGAAGCACGTCAGCATTGGCTTAGAACTGTGGGACCTGTGGCCTGGCCCCTGTCAATCTATACATATTATGATTGGTTCTCAACAAATAAGTTATGACACTGTTTTTAAGAACTTATGATGTCAGAACCCAGTATTTTATGTTAGGTGCCTTTTGCTACATCAGAACTATTTAGAGTTCCAAATTAAGTTAATACCTAATGTCTCATATTAATGCTCTTTTAGTGATATCAGTATTGACAATTATGCCAGTCTCAGAAATAGAAACAGCTCTGTCTGCCACCTCTTGTTTGTAGCTAACCCCCTCATCAGATTACCTTAGGACACTAGATCCTGACTGTTCAAAGTATTGCCATTAGGGCCCGGGATTTAGCTCATTGGTTCCACCACCTGCCTCACAAGTACAAGGTCCCGAGTTCAATCCCTGGTACCAAAAAAAGAGAAAAACAGAAAGTATTGCCATTTTTCTTAAGTTGGGCTGTATAGAAACAAAAGCATTTCCTGAGTTTATTTTTTTCTGTGGGATTTGATTATATACCCTTAATTATTATTTACTTTGCAGTTCCAGCTGCTTTTTCCCTCTGTGATGGTTGTAGTAGAGCAAATTAAAAGTCAAAAGGTGAGAATTTTCCTTTTTTTCCTTTTACTCTGGTAAGAAAAAGAAATATTAATCATTAATGTTGCCCTACATTCCTTTTGGAAGACCCTAGTTTTTCTATTTTAGTGTTAATTGACTTATTCAAAAATACCTGTCTATATATCATGGTAAGTGCCAGGAATGCAAAAATACTGTTCTGTCTGTAAGCACATCCTTGTTCAGAAGGCAGAGGAAAGGTTGCTGGGGTAAAAAAAAAAATTCTATGGAAGTTCAGAGGTGAAAGCAATTTGTAGTAAGCGTTTAGAACTCTGTAGGGTCTTGAGGAGAAGCAGAAAGATAATCCTTACAAAGAAGGTGGTAGGTTTATGGTTAAGGTGCTGTTTCCTGAGAATTATGAAATCAGTAGGTAAAACCGACATACTTTATTCTTGTCATAAGCTTTCATCATATGCATTGAAAATTTAGAGTCCCCAATATCAGGGAGAATGTCTTTTCTGGACACAGTTAATAACTGTGAAGAATAAATGCTTTGAGATTTTATATTAAAAGAATCTGCTGTCCTGAGTCAGTCCATAATTGGACCAAATAGACAAATAGGTTAAACATGTTTGGCCCTAGTCTCCATGTTTTTAAACTCCTATATTTGTGCCTTAGCTTATTAAGAATGTTCACCCTAATGAATATAACCAGTTAACCAGTTAATTTGTCACACTGCTAAACTAGTGTGCTGAGGCTCTACAGGGCTGAAATACGAGCTGGTCAAGAGCACGGGCTAAGTGTGAGAATGAGCTTGATTGCAAATAGGCACAAAGAGGATTCTGTTAAGAGTGATGGAATGTTACAAAACTGGATTATGGTGATGGCTGCACAGTGCTGCAAATTAAAAACTTAAATAATTACTTAAAGTAGATGGGCTTTATGATATATGATACCTTTTAAGAAAAGAAGCATGAAGGACATAGAGGCAGTGGATTTGGGAGAAAGTGGTCTGAATTGGTCCTTAAAGTGGTCTTTAGTGGTCTGAATTGGGCCTTAACCAGAAAAAGTGAGCTCTCCTAACTGTAAATGCTTCTGGTTTCCTTTGTGCACTGGTTCCCATGCACTTTGCTCTATGTTACTCTCTAGAGGTTTGGTTAGACTGCTGAGCCCTGCCCAAGTTTGCAACCTTCTGAGTCCAGAGGTGGCTCTGACGATGCTGGTGGGAGAGGTCTGTCTCTGAGAACCACAATATAGAAATCTTATCGGACAGTTTATCTCCATTCTCTACTGGATTGTCCCCTCTTGGAAAACAGAATATGAGTTTTATATTCAATGAACTGTTGAAAAAGAATATAATTTGACAAGGCTGTATTTCCCACAGATTCATGGCTGTCAGATCCTGGAGACAGTCTACAAACACAGCTGTGGGGGTCTGCCTCCTGTTCGAAGTGCACTAGAAAAGTATGCCATGGCTTAATTTGGGATTGGGGTGGTGTTAGTTCAAGTGACTTCACTTCTCACATGTCATAATTTCCGGTCACCTCCAGTTTCCTTTGGGGAGAGTTATGACTGGGATAGAAAACCCCTGTTGAGCAGAGTAACCCATGTAATCCTCACGGTGGCTCAGGTATTGCAGAAAGGGTTATAAAGTAAAGAATCAAAGCCAGGATTAGCTCCCAAGTCCCCTCAAGACCATCCTTTTTAACTTCTAGAGCTCATTATCCTTGTAGGATTCCCTTTACATGTACCAGATCCTGCATACTATGTTCATATATGTGTATTGGAATATCCAGTGTTTTCACATCATAGTCCTTAAAAGTAATGGGCCGGGGATTTAGCTCAGTGGTTCTGGCACCTGCCTCGAAAGCTCCAGGTCCTGAGTTCGATCCCCAGTACCAAAAGAAAAAAAAAGTATTTATATTTTATAATCCCATAATGCCACTCAGAAAGTTTTTCCTAACAAAATTATTTAAAAGAAGAAAATAACTCTATGTACAAACGTGTTCACTGCAATGTTGTCTGCTATATTAGGAAATTAGAAAATTAGCAGTAGAAAAAAAGCTAAATAAAGATATATTCACTAGATAAAGTATAAACCCACTAAAAGACAAATGCCATAATAACATGTGCAGCATTGGTGGGGTTCAGTATTCTCCAAGTGGACTTCTAAAGTTCTTGCTTCTTTGTCTCCTCAGAGTCCTGGCTGTGTGTCACGGGGTCATGTATAAGCAGCTCTCAGCCTGGATGCTGCATGGACTTCTCTTGGACCAGTATGAAGAGTTCTTTATTAAACAGGGTCCATCTTCTGGCAATATCAGTGCCCAGCCAGAAGAGGATGAGGAGGACCTGGGCATTGGGGGACTGACAGGAAAGCAATTGAGAGAGCTCCAGGACTTGGTGAGAGCACAGCAAGCAGCCCAGCATTCTCCACAGGAGTCAGCAGTGTCTACAGCTAAATCATCTTTTGCTGATCCCTCCTGTTCATCATAGCTTGGCACCTTCCATAGACTCTTTATGTGTAGACACTGAGTTTTCTTTTAACTAATGCAAGGCTCTGAGTGAGAAAATATAATTGTGAGGAGCTGGGACTGTAGTTCAGTAGTAGAATACTTGCCCTTGCCCAGCATGCAGAAGGTTCCATCCCTGGCATTGGGGGAAAAGATATAAAATTTTTTACATATTTATTTGTGAGATTTCTTTTCGAATATTCTTTTTTTTCCCATTATATACATTTTAAGGGGTAGATAATAAGTCTTGTCTCTACAAACTGTAGCTACCCTGTAGTTTTGTTTTTGGGGGGTTTTTTGGTACCAGGGATCGAACTCAGGATCTTGTACTTGTGAGGCAGGCGGTGGCACTGAACTAAATTCCCCTCCCAACTACCATGTAGTTTTTAAAATAAGTTTGGAGTTTTCATTGCACTCCTCAAAGTCCTGAATTGTCCATATTCTTCCATCTATCCATCTGTCCATTCATTTATCTTGTTATATTTCATTTGAATGCCTAATATGTGCTGGGCATGGTTCTAAGTATCACAACTACATGGACATATAAAAAAATGTTCTGTCCTGGGCTGGGAATGTAGCTCAGCAGCACAGCGCCTACCTGGCAAATCTGAGGCCCTGAGTTCGATTTCCGGTACCAAAAAAAAATTTCTGTCCTTAAGGAGCTTATAGTTTTGTTTACAATAAAGTAGACACTTGTATTATAGTGTACTACATGTTCTGAAAAACAGTAAGCATGAGTGTTCTTGGAAAATGAAGTAACCAGACAAGGCTCCTCATGTCTAGATTGCAGAGTGTTTAGGAGGGCCCGTCAAGACATGTCTAGACAGAGGGAATAATGTGTGTAAAGTTACAGAGGTTGAGAAGTGCTAGCTCCTTTGGGGAACCATTAGTAATTCCATTGAAGTGGTCAGGTAATGTGTGAGAAATGGGAGAGGGGAGAGAATAGGTGGAAATTGATGAGGCTGTTGAGTTGAGCAGAGGCAAGATCATAAAGCCACTTATAAACAGCAGGAAGAAATGTGGGCTTGAACCTAGAAGAACTGGGAGTCATTGAAGGCTTTTAGGGAAAAGGGTAAAACAGACTTTGTGGTCACTCTGGATGCTGTGTAAGGGATCATTTTTTTATAAACCAAGATTAGATACAGGCAGACCAGTTAAGAGTGTGGTGGGGATACTTAGGTGGAAAAGAATAGTGCCTTCAACTAAAGGTGGTGAGTGAATACGGAGAAAAGTGAAGAGCTTGAGAGGTTTAGGAGGAGGAATCAATAGGCCTTACTGACTGGTTGGTTGTGGGTAAAGAGGGAAGGATCAAGGATAATGCCTAAGATTCTGCCTGCAGCATGTTGTATTGGTAGGGAATGTGCACTGCTGGTGTCGGGAGGAAAGATGGATTGAATTTTCAGCATTATAAATGTAAGGAAATGCCATGTGTGGTAGTATACAGCACTTGGGAGGCTGAAGCAGGAGGATTACAGTGAGTTTGAGGCTAGCCTGAATTACATAGAGAGGAGACCTTTTCTCAAAAAAAAAAAAAGGAATTTGAGGAAATGTCTAGTGACCTAAGCCTGGGGCTCATGAGAACAGTGTAGCTTTATCTAAATCTAAACAGAGAACTAGGTGTGGTAGCACATGCCTATGATTCCAGCACTTGGGATTCTGAGGCAGGAGGATCGCTGGGAGTACCAGGCCAGCCTGGGTTACACAGTGAGTTCAAGGTCAGTCTGAACTGCATAGTAAGACCCTGTCTCAAAAAACAATAACTAAATATATAAAACTAAACATGGTGTCAACCAGCATGTAGCTCAGAAGTTTTTAATCTGAGGGGCATTGGTGGCTTCAAGAGGTTCTCAAAATATTACAATGCCTATGCATTTACCTGGATGGTACACAGCTTTTGTAACTGCAGAGAAGCCTGTGACATAAAAAGATTAAGACTCTGTTATGTTTATTGATGCCACAAAAAATGTGATTGTCTCAGAAGAGTGTTCCACACTGTAGAACAAGAGGAAAAGAGAGGGTCTAGGAGAGGGCTGAGGAATAGCAGCAGAGCAGACATACATAGACCTGGAAAAAAATAAAGCACAGCTCTTACATTATGAGTAAGGAAGCTGATCAGCTGTCCATGTTTCACGTAGTGAAGGCAGGGAGAGGACTAAAATCCCAGTGTTCAAAAGTCATCCTCCCACTCTGTTACCTGACAATGAGATGCAAATCTCCAACATGGGTGATTAAGAATTGTGCATATTCAGATTTGTAGTCCCTGTTTCTAAAAAATACTAATCATGGGTTGGGGTTGTAATCAGGTACTTCTCCGTTTTCCTTTCCTTAACTTCATGCTTGATCTCTGAAGAGAGTTGTTTCCTTCCTAGCGTCTGATTGAGGAAGAGAACATGCTGGCACCTTCTCTAAAGCAGTTTTCCCTACGGGTAGAGATTTTACCATCATACATTCCAGTGAGGGTTGCTGAAAAAATCCTTTTCGTTGGAGAGTCTGTGCAGATGTTTGAGAACCAGAATGTGACCCTGACCAGAAAAGGTAGGGTTGTTCTTGGCCATGAGCTGGGCTCTTCTCATCCTGCATGGCCCACAGCAAGCTGAAGCTACTGGCCTCTCTGGACACCTTGTCCAGCTCTCTTGTCTTCCTGTGACAGTCTTTCTCTTCGGCAGGATCTATTTTGAAGAACCAGGAGGATACTTTTGCTGCGGAGCTGCATCGGCTAAAGCAGCAGCCGCTTTTCAGCTTAGTGGATTTTGAGCAGGTGGTGGATGGTATTCGAAGTACTGTGGCTGAGGTTTGTATTTCTTTTTTCTTTTTTTGGTTTTTTGAGTCAGAATCTCACTATGTAGCCCAGGCTGGCCTTGAACTCAAGAGATCCTCCTCCCTCAGAGCAACTTAGCAAGACCCTATCTCAAAATTTTAAAAAGACTGAGGATGTACTCAGTGTAGAAGCTCAAACCCCAATACTGAAAAACAAAAAACAACTTTTAGCAGACTTATAATTACTTTAACTTGATAAACTTATGTTCCAGAGGCTTACACTGAACATTATAGTGATAGAAAAGCTTTGGGTTGGGGATTGAGCTCAGTGGTTTCACTGCCTGCTGCACAAGCGCAAGGACCAGAGTTCGATCCCCAGTACCAAATACCCAAAAAGCTTTACATGCATAATCTTTTTTTTTCTTTGGTGCTGGGTATCAAACTCAGGACCTTGTGCTTATGAGGCAGGCTGTGGCACCACTGAGCTAAATCCCCAGACCTATACATAATCGTTTTAAGAGCCAACAAATGAAACATTTATTATTATGCCTCTTATTTAATACAGTTTATTTAAACTCTCATGCCATCTGTTTAATACAGTGGACTCTTGACTTACAAATTCAGTTTGTTCCCGAGGGGTGGTTGTAACTCAGGTTGGTCAATTGAAGGCTCAAGCTCCTCTACACAGCCTTCAAAGTCTCTCCCTTACACAGGCAGATCTCAGTGTCCTTAGAGAGACACTGGCCCGGGATTTCTCAATTAACTCCACACAGGAAAGGATGTTGTAATGTTCTTTCCAGAACTCTTTACGGAATAAATCTATATCTGAGACCATCTGGAAGCACAAGCGGCCAGCATTCAGGTTGTAACTAAAGACTTTGGTCATAAGTTAAAACTAAAATTCTGGGCCAGGGATTTAGCTCAGTGGTTCCGCCACCTGCCCCGCAAGCACAAGGACCTGAGTTCGATCCCTGGTACCAAACAACAAAAACTAAAATTCTGGTTATAACCCAAGTTGTTGATATGTCAGACCAGTCTTAACGCAAGGGTCCATTGTATTGGAGATCCTAGCCAAGGCAAATGTGGCACACACCTGTAATCCCAGCACTCTGGGAGGTTGAGGCAGAAGTCCAGCCTGGCCGACTCAGTGAGACTGTCTAAAAAAAAATAAGAGGGGAGCTGAGGACGTAGCTCAGTGTGAAGGCCCTGGGTTCAGTCTCCAGTACCACACACATACACAGAGATCCTAGCTGACCTTGCAAGGAAAGAAAAGTTTAAAAATTGGAAGAAAAGTTGCAAAACTCTTATTACATGGAGATAATCTGATCATCTGTCAAAACAACTCAGTAGAATCAACTATTAGAACTAAATGTTCAGCAAGTTGCCAAGTTTGATTAGTTTACAAAAATCAGTACTATTTCTCTATAGAAGTAATAACCAGCTAAAAATATAATTAAAAGCTATTAAGTATCTAAAATTTTGTTAAAATATTTTCATTGAAGTACTAAAATATGTAGAAAATACACAAATCATAAGTTTATAGCCTGAAGAATTTTCACAGTTGAACATATCTTTATACTAGCCTCAGATCAAGAAATGAAACACACTAAACATCACCAGCACCGTGGAGCCCCACAGCCCCCTTCCACGAACTCAAGGGACAGCACTTACTTTTGAAAAATTACAAAGGAAGGAAAGCAATACCCAAAGGGATGAATATGACACATATTTGCAAAACACTCCTAATATTTCTTTCTGGAAACGCTTTCTTTCATTGCTATGTTATTGTTATAATAATATCCATATAATATAGGGGTATATATTATAATATACTATATATATTATACTATATATTGTGCTATATAATTATATATCATGTATGATGTGTGATATATATTTGATATAGTAATTACATATTGATCATTACATTATGATATATATTATACATTTATATAGATATATATAGTATATAATGTTACAGGGATATATATTTTAATAATATCCCTATAATACATATAATATAATATAATAAAAGTATTAGCTGCAATTCTAAGAAACTTCAAAAAATCTGAGCTTCAATTGTCTATCATTTTTGCAAAACTAGAAATGAATTTCTACCAATACATTCGTTTCAGAATTTCACAAAAAATAAAACCAATTTTGACATCTTATACAATAAAATAAAAATTTACTTTCCTCCATTAATTATGCTTTCCAAACAGTTGTAACAAAAATGGGAGCCAGGCCTGATGGCACACACCTGTAATCCCAGCACTCAAGAGGCGGAGGCAGGAAGATCGTTGTGAGTTGGAGCCCATCCTGGGCTGCATAGTGCAAGGGTAGTCTGAACTACATAGTGAAACCCTGTTTCCAAAAAAAAGAAAGAAACAAAAATGATAAAAGGGCAGAATTAGAGTCAATAAAAATGAAAGAACTTGAAGATACCCCTTTTAGACAGGGGCCTGGCTCAGGATATAGACAGAGGTGAAGTAGTGTTTTCAAATTTTTAAAGAACAGAAATATGGATTCTAGGTCATTTGGATATTTATTTGCCTGTAAGAAATCAAGTACAGTGATACTTCATGGTCATTTTAAGGTCTGTTCTGTGTCTATATCATAGCTGTCTAACACCTAGGATTTTTTGAATTGGTCACCAGAAAAGGAAACCACATTTGTGCTGGAATTATAGCTATGCACCACCACTCCTGGTTCATTTTTTAAATATATTTTTAAAGACTTAACCATAAATTATCTTGACTTATCATCTGACCCTTTGGTACCAATGAAGATGTAGTTTCTTATGTTCAATCCTTTTTCTATTTTGGTTTTGTCTATTCATATTTAAATTTCTGGTTTAGTTTCCAGATGTTGAATCTTCCTGCAAAAAGCTCTACTCAGAGCCTGGGATTTAAAAGCTCAGTGGTTTTGCTGCCTGCTGTGTAAGCGCAAGGACCAGAGTTTGATCCCCGGTACCAAAAAAAAAAAAAAAAAGCTCTACTCAATTGTGATTATTTTATTTTTTAATATACTACTGTATTTGTTTATCCAATTTAATATTTATAATATTTACACTTGTATTCATTAGTAAAATAAGACTATTCCTGTCTTATTCTTAGGTAGTGTTGAAATAAGATTATATATGCTTTATAAAATGGGCTAAGTAGCTTTTGTTCTTTTCTGTTTTTTTAGAATAACCTATATAAGACAGGAAATGTTACTTAAAGGTTCATTGAACTTACCTGAAAAGCAATCTGGGCTACCATTTTTTAGGAAGGAAAACTTCAGTCTGTCTATTGAAAACCTATTTACATAAAACATTTCTCTTTTTTTTTTTTTAACAATTTTGGCATTTTCTATAAACTTGTCCATTTCTTCTAGACTTACCTTTTGTTGTTGTTATTATTATTATTATTATTTTTGGTACCAGGGATCAAACTCAGGACCTTGTGCTTGTGAGGCAGACAGTGGAAACACTGAGCTAAATCCCCGGCCCTAGACCTACCTTATGTTTAAAAATCTCTCTTTGTGATTATTTACATTTTATTTCACATTTCTTTTATTTAATCTTATTTAGCCTAACCTTTTATTTAGTAAGACTAAAAGAACAGCTTTTGTTTTTATTTTTATCTAGTTTTCATTTTTGTAGTTCACTGATACCTCTTCTTTTTTGTTTCTTTTAAATTAAAAAAAAATGTGTAGAATTTTTATCTTATTTTTGGCAGTGCTGAGGATCAAACCCAGGGCCTTGTGCGTACCAGGGAAGCGCTCTACTGATGAGCTACATCTTCAGTTCTTAAAAAATCCATTTAACTGATACATAAAAAGAAAGTTACTTGGCACAGTGGTGAATACCTGTACTCCTAGCAGCTCAGGAGGCTGAGGCTGCAGGAGCATAAATTTAAGGTTAGCTTGAGCAACTTAGCTAGACATTGTCTCAAAAAAATAAAAAGGCCAAGGAATATATTTCAGTGATAGACCACTTGCCTAGTGTGTGCAAAGCTCTTGAGTTCAATCTCTAATACCACAAAGAAAAAAAAACTTTATAAAACAACCAACCATAAAAATTTATATTTAATGGGATACCATGTAATGTTTCAATACACGTATATATTGCATAATGTATGATTCTGGTTAAACATCTGTTTCTTTATGGTAAAAACTTTCAGAATTCTTTCTTCTAGCTTTTTGAAATATACAGTACATTATTGTTATCTCTAGTCACTGCACAGTGCCATAGCACACTGGAACTCCTTGCTCCTAAGTGTTAACTTACTGCTCAGCCTCTCCTTACTCTTTCTTCCGCTGATAACCACCATTGTACTCTAGAGTTACTGGAAATCAACTTTGAGATTCAACATATGGGTGAGATGATGCAGTACTTCTTGTCTTTCTGTGCCCAGCTTCTTTCACTTACCATGGTAGTCCTCAGTTTCACTCATATTGCTGCAAATGACAGGATTTCATTCGATTGAATGGGTCAGTATTCCATTGTGTCTATGTGCCACATTTTTTATCCATTCATCAACGGAGAGACACTTCGGTGGTTTCCATTTCTTGGCTCTTGTGACTACTGCAGCAGTGAACATGGGAGTGCAGAAGCGTCTGTGGCAGACTGATTTCATTTCCTTTGGATGTATATCCAGGAGTGGGGTTGCTATCTCATGGTATTGATATGTTTAATTTTTGGAGACCCTCCATACTGTTTTCCATAGTGGCTGTACTAATTTTATTCCCAACAGTGTGCAAGGGTTGCCTTTCTCCACATCCTTGTTCTTCTCAGTATTTTTTTTATATGCGGAACCCAAGTTCCCTTGACTTTTTTAATTAACTTTATTTTTAATAGCAACACATTTATTTGTACATTTTAGGCATACATAATGATAACACTCATCATAGGGAATTTGCACCTGCACACGATACACGGTACCTCCTGCCCCTTTTCCCTAAACCCCTCCCCTTCCTCTGTACAAAAGCTGTTTCTATTTTTTCTGTTTTCACTTTTTTTCTTCTCCCTCTCTTCTTCCTTGTTCCCCTCCCCATTTGAACATTTCCTTCCCATTTCCCAATATCTATTATACATTTTTAGTCCTTATTTCCACTTTTGGTTTCTTCACACCAGAAAACAATGCGGTATTTAAACATGTGTGTTTGATTTATTTCACTTAAGAGTATGATCTCAGGCCAGGGATTTGGCTTAGTGGTTCTGCCGCTTGCCTTGCAAGTGCAAAGACCCAAGTTCGATCCCTGGTACCAAAAAAAAAAAAAAAAAGAGTGTGATCTCAAGGTGGATCCACTTAGCTATAAATGTCTGAAGTTCATCCTCCTTTATGGCAGAATAGTACTCTAGTCAATGCTCCATCAACTAGACAAACTGTGACGGAATTTGAGGTCACGTTCAGCTCTAAACTTATTTTACCCACATGTTTCTGGGAGCCCTTCCTCATTTCATTATAAGAATTTAGTAAATGTATGTCTTTTAATATCACCCAGAGAAAAACAAATCAAAAAATCGAAAGAAGTTTGGTTTTTTTTTTTTTCAGCTGTTCAGTTTTTATTGAACATGTTACAAAATGAGGTTTAGTCAAAAAGACCAAAGCACATGTCGTCGTCAGACTCCTCAGGATTTATATAAAAAAAAGCCACATCTTTATCCATTCATCCATTGATGGGCATTTGGGCTGTTTCCAAGATTTAGCTATTACAAACTGTGCTGCTATAAAGATGGATGTGCATATATTGCTGTGGTGTGATGCTTTTTTTTTTTTTTTAATTTATTTATTTTTTGTGTGTGATGCTTTTAATTCTTTCGGGAAGATACCAAGAAGGACAGTAGCTGGGTCAAATGGAACCTCCAGTTTTAGTTCTTTGAGGAATCTCCACACTGATTTCCAGAGTGGTTGCCCCAGTCTACGTGCCCCATCAACAGTGGAGAAAGGTTCCTTTTTTCCCCATAACCCCTCCAGCATTTGTTATTGGTTGGAGCAAGATGGAATGTCACTTACTTTAATTTGCATTTTTCAAATGACCAGTGATGTTGAACATTTTTTAATATATTTATTTGCTGTTTCTACTTCATCTGAGAAGTGGCTATTTATTTCAAATGTGCATGTTTAGATTGGGTCTTTAAATTTGGGGGGGTCTGATTTTTTTGAGTTCTTTATATATTCTAGCTGTTAGTCCTTTGTCTGAGATAGATGGTAAATTTTTTTCCCCTCATTGTGGGTTGTCTCTTCACTCTGTTGGTGGTTTCTCTTGTTGTGTAAAAGCTTTTTAATAAGATGAGATCCCAGTTGTTGATTCTTTGTAATAGTTCCGGTGCAATCAGGGTTTTGTTCATAAAGTCTTTGCCTACACCAATGTCTTCAAGAGTCTTACCTATTCTATCTTTCAGCAGATTTAGTTTTGATCCATTTCTATTTTGGGTTAGTGTGTAGTGAAAGATATGGGTCTACTTTCAGTCTTCAGCATGTGGAAAGCCAGTTTTCCTAGCATCATTTATTAAAGAGACTATCTTTCTTCTAGTGAAGGTATTTAGCTCCTTTGTCAAAGATAAGGATGGCTGAATATGTTTGGAGTTGTTTTTGCATCTTCTAATCTGTTCCATTGATCCTCAGGTCTGTTCTTTTGAAGTCTTTGGGTGGAGTTTTTTGGGTCTCTTATGTAGAGTATCATATCATCTGTGAATAATAATTAATTTCTTTCTTTCCTATCATTCCTTTTATTTCTTTCTCTTTTCTAATTGCTATGGCTAATGTTTCCAGAACTGTATTGAATAAGAGTGGTGACAGTGGATATCCTTGTCTTGTTCCTGATTTTAGAGTTAAAGCTTTCAGTTTTTGTCCATTTCGTATAATGTTGGCTGTTGGTTTGTCATAGATGGCTTTTATCAGATTGAGATAAAGACTCTATACCAATTTTCTGTAGAGTTTTTTTATCATGAATGCATCCACTGAGACTATAATATGATTTTTGTCCTTGATTCTGTTAATATAGTGAAATTACATTTATTGATTTGTGCATGTTGAATCATCCTTGCATCCCTGGGATGAATCCTATTTGGTCATGGTGTGTAATCATTTTGATGATTTGCTGCATTCTGTCTGTCAGTATCTTACTGAGGATTTTCTATAGTTCTTTTTTGGGTGGGCGGGTACTGGGGATCAAACTCAGGTCCTTGCGCTTTCGAGGCAGGTGACAGAACCACTGAGCTAAATCCCTGGCCCTATAGTTTTCTTTTTTGGTTGGATCATTCTCTGTTGTTGGTATCAGGATACTGCTTGCTTCTAGGAATGAATTTGGGAGTATTGCTTCCCTTTCAATTTCATTAAAGAGTTTGAGACAGCAGCATTAGGTCTTCTCTAAATTTCTTATAGAATTCAGCAGTGAATCTTGTCAGGGGCTGGGCTTTTCTTTGTTGGCAAGTTTTTAATTACATCTTCAATTTCATTGACTGATATTGGTTTACTTAGAATTTTTAGGGCCGGAGATTTAGTTCAGTGGTTCCGCTGCCTCCCTTGCAAGCACAAGGACCCGAGTTCAATCCCTGATACCAAGCCACTAGATGGAGTTGGCCTATAGCTGTTCAGAATTCCAAGCTCAGTTGACCTTTCTCCAAGACGGCTACCGGCTAATCACCCTCTCCTGGGTGATGTCTGAACCCAAATAACTCACCAGCCACTGCAGCCTGGTGCAGCCACTGCTTTGTTCCACTGATGTGTTTCTCTGTGGAGCCCTCTAGGGTCACCAGGAATATCTTCTGTGCTGGCTGTGCACTTAAGTTTTGCATTTTTAATCATTAACCTCGCTGAATTCTCTTACTAGTTCTTATGCTCTGTGTGTCCATTCTTTTGGACTTTTTGTGAAGATAGTGATGATATCAGTTAATCATGACAGTTTGGGTTTGGCATGGTGGCACATGCCTATAATCTCAGCACTCAGGAAGCTGAGGCAGGGATCACTGTGAGTTTGAGGCCAGCCTGGGCTACATAGTGAGTTCAAGGATAGCCTGAACTGCAGCAAGAAACTGCCGAGGACTCCCAGACAGAGCACTCAAACACAGGAGATAGGAGCAAAAGTGGCTTTATTAGCCAGTGGCTCAAAGGGGACTCGTGTCACCTTGTGAACACCAAATAGAAGTTTTCTCTTCTTTATATACTTCTTTTTACGTCCAGAGTCTTACTTTCATTGGAGTTTCCCTGGGAATATATATATTTGGGGGGGGGAGGGTACCGGGGATCGAACTCGGGACCTTGGGCTTGCAAGGCAGGTGGCAAAACCACTGAGCTAAATCCCCGGCCCTTCCCTGGGAATATAGCAAGCAGGATTTACACAAAGCAGAGCAGGGTGCGGGGGAGAGCAATGAGTTCTGGAAGGACTTTCTGAGTCCATTGCACTCCTTTGGTGACAGATTACAGAAATTGTCATCACTACTCAGGTGCATTCCACAAAGAACATAGTTACCCTGTTAACCCATAGTTGCCCAATTCCATATGGAGGGGTAGTTTCTTCTCAGAACTATATAGTGAGGCCCTGTCTCTCTCTCTTTCTTTTTGGGGGGTGGAGGGGTACTGGGGATCAGACTTGGGACCTTGTACTTGCAAGGCAGGCAGCGGCACCACTGAGCTAAATCCCCGGCAGCAAGGCCCTGTCTCAAAAAAAAAAAAAAAAGTCATGAACATATAATCTTCTTGAATGCTTTTTCTGTATCTCTTGAGGTAATCATGGTTTTTCTCCTTTAAGCTTTAATGTAGTAAATCATACTTTTAAACTAAATTTTATTTTTACTGAAATTAAACTCACAGAACATAATAGTCAACATTTTAGCTATCTTAAAGTGGTGTGCAAATCATTGGTTTTTAGTATATTCACAGTGTCATGCAGCTATTACCACTAATTTCAGGACATTTATATCATATTGTTTTGTTTGTTTACTGTCAAGCTGTTCTTTCACTGCTGGGAGTAATTGAATCAGTTATGTGTATACTCTTTTCAGCACACGGCTGGATTTGTGGGAGTTTTCATTGAAATTAACTTCTGTTGGTTGTTTTCACAGCATCTCTGGAAGCTGATGGTAGAAGAGTCAGATTTACTGGGTCAGCTGAAGGTAATAACTTAGCTGTTCTTTTAATTCTTAACACTGGTGCTAGCGGACACAGACTTACATTCTCTACCTTTTCTGAGAGTACTGATTGCCTATACCCAGACTTCACAGGGACTCATTAGGTCTTACTCACGTGAGCAGATGATACCTTGTGCTACTAACCCCCTGTAATATGGGAGTTTACTTTCTTCTGTGTAATATAATCATGTTGCCATTGAATAAATGATATCAAATGCAAACCACTCATCCTGCGGTGAGGAGCTGCTGATGTGCCTTTTTGAAATGCCAAATGCCCATGTCCTTCAGATTGGTAAGATTGGGAGTTACGTGTCTGATTCCCTCAGGATAGCAAAGACCTCTAGCCCTGCCTTACTGATTTGCAAACTGAAATTCTTTCCTCAGATCATTAAAGACTTTTACCTTCTGGGACGAGGAGAACTGTTTCAGGCCTTCATTGACACGGCTCAGCACATGTTAAAAACACCGCCCACTGCAGTAACTGAGCATGGTAATTGCCCTATGGCCCCAAGAATGTCCAGCTTACTGAAGTTGCAGGGTGCTTCTTGCCTGCTGCTGCTGCTTTTAGGCCTGTTCCACATACAAGTGCCCTGGTGAGTCACAGAGCAGCACTTCCAGAGGTGGAAGACTTGCAGGTTGGCTTCAGGCCATGGCCATTAGTAGCAGCACCCTGCCTGGTGATTCTTTGTGGATGAGTTGATGCAGTCCTCAAACCAGGTGTTTCATCTCAGCATTTCTGTTGCATTTCTGTCCCTATTGGGACTTAGTGTGACTTACTATTGCATAGAATTCTTTCTGTTATGGACAGTGGAAACCTACCCTGAGCTAGCTCGCCTAGATTAAAAGGGTAAATTTATTTGCTGTTTTATCTAAAACGAGTGGGGCAGGGATATAACTGGGCCTCAAACAACTAAAATGAGGGACTTAGATACTATCAGTTTTCTCTCTCCCTGTGTCTGTGTCTTTTGCACTCTGCTGACTTTCTAGGACCATCAGAACATGCCTCCCCCCCCGCCCCCCCCCCGCCCCGTGTCTTGCAAAGGAACCATACCTGGTCTCTGGTAGCAAGTTAAAGAATTCCAGGGAAAGGGTTTTGATTGGCCCAGTCCAGGTCACATGCTTACCCTGTACCATTAAAGAGGTCAGACACTAAGACAGGCCTAGTTCAGCAAAGTGTCCACTCCTACAGTTCATGGCTGTTTTCATTCCGACTATGGAGAGAGTTGGGTAAGGATCAGAATGAAAAAGATAAAAAAAAAGAGGGCCGGGGATGGAGCTCAGTGGCACCGTGCCTGCCTGGCAAGCACAAGGTCCTGAGTTTGATCCCCAGTACCCGGGGAGAGGAGCAGTAAGGAAAAAAAATACAGGGTGTTTCTTTTTTTCTAACTCAGTAAAAAAATGTGTGTCCACTATGCTTCCATTTTTTGGTGGCAGATATAGGAAAACCCAATTCAGGAATGTATCTTAGTGGTGGGATGTTTGCCTAGCATGTGTGGATTCCCAGAACAGTCAGGGACAGAGACACAGAAGAGAGGGAGGGAGAAAGAAGCAGAGCGAGGGAGAGATGAAAGAGAAGAGGGGGAGAGGAGAAGAGAAGGAAAGAGAGAAAATCCAGTTCAAACTCACATAAACAAGTTTGGTACAAGAAATGAAAGGACACACTGATTGTTACAGGTGGAAAGCCCTGAGGTGTGGTGGCTCTCCCAGGATTCACCTTTAGTACCTGGTCTCTTCCCATCCTTCATCTCTACCTTTCTTTTCAGATAGCCCACCCTGAGTGGTAGCAAGATAGGCTCCAGCGCATTAAGTGCCTGTTAATCTCAAGAAGAGCTCTACTATTTTAAAAGGAAAAAAGCATCTAAGTTGGGCCTCTAGATTGGCCTAGTTTGGGTCACTTTCATATCCTGAACTAGTGCAGCAAAAGAGTGTGACATTCTGTGTGCATGCATGGCACACCAGCCAGCCCTAGAACCAGGCCGCAGTGCTAAGCCCCCAGAGCTAGCTGTGCTATTTGAGGCAGAGATGGTTCTCCACAGCACTTTTACCAGCAAAACGAAGAAGAAACTAACACTGATCAGGCAGAAGCAATAGCTGTCCATTCTGTTCCACGGCCACAGCGGTCAGCCTGTGTGTCCTTTCTTTGCAGATGTGAATGTGGCCTTTCAGCAGTCAGCGCACAAGGTATTGCTGGATGACGACAACCTTCTCCCTCTGTTGCACTTGACCATTGAGTTTCATGGGAAGGAGCACAAAGGTTTGCCTTTCTCCGTGCCTTTCTGCTCCTCTGGTCACATTGCTTTTCCCATCTCTGCATCTGTCTACCTCCACAGACACCAGGTAATTATCACTTTAGATCTTAGAAAGCATCCAGTCCAGTCCTCTAATTGTGTACAGGAGAAAAAGGAAGCTTGGAAGCCTAGAAAGATTAGGTAAGATGCCTAGGCTGTGGTTTTTGTGGGATGGCCAGTTTTCTCCAGCCTCCAGCATTAGTGCTGAAAGAATCTGAAAGCCCCCAAAAGAGATCCTCACATGCAAGACTCCATGCCCATTGCCTTTGAGTCCCTCCAGCAAGTTCTTTTCACTAATGTTGCTCACCTTGTTGAGTCTGATTCTGGATTAGCCAAATTGTCATTCCTTATTTCTCTTCTTGATCCTAGATGGCATTCAGGCAAGAGAAGGGCCTTCTCGGGAAACTTCCCCCCGGGAATCCCCTGCATCTGGCTGGGCAGCCCTGGGCCTTTCCTACAAAGTACAATGGCCTCTGCATATTCTTTTCACCCCAGCTGTGCTGGAGAAGTGAGTATTCCTAGTGTCTCACAGGTGAACATTACCCACCTTACTTCCAAGGGAGAAAAATTGCAGGAATAGAATTGCTGGGAGCAAGAGAGCCACCCAATTAGTTTGTAACTATCTGTAAATTAGAGAATGGCAACTGCTGTGTCTATAGGGGCCAGCCAGATCTGCACATAGCGTGCAGAGGTGACACAGTGGGTGCTAGAATGAATGGGAGAATTATAAGCACTTAAAACATAGTTTTTAAAAATAATTTGCTAAGTAACAAGCAGTCTGTCAGCTGCCAGTTAGTGACCTCTGGAAAATGAGGTTCCAGGTATCACATTGAGAGGCTGGCCCTTAATGATTCCATCAAACCTGACAAATTTCTTCCCTTTTTTTTTTTTTTTTTTTTGGTACTGGGGATTGAACTCAGGACCTTACACTTGAGAGGCAGGCACGATGCAGGCAAAGTGCCGCTGAGCTAAATCCCCTGCCCTCCTCTTTTCTTTGTTGTTGTTGATGTTGATGATGATGACGTTTTCCTTTAAAGTCCTCCAGCCTGAATGTCTGTCATGGATTTAGTGACTGGGGAGATCCATCCCCTTCCCCATGAGGGAGGTGATGGGGCAGCCAAGCCACAGGGATGGCTTTAGATCAGCTGTGTTCTGTACACGAGTCTGCCCACACTGTTGCTTGTTCTGGTCAGGACCAGGCATCCCCAAACCAGAAGGGAAGCAAAGCTCCAGGGAAAGGAAGTGGGAGAATCTACTTCTTCCCAGGGAAGCTGTCACACTAAGTGAGGCTCGAGGAATGGGAAGAGAGAAACAGAAGGCCCATCTCCTCTTCCAGCCCTGTCTGTGGAGGCCTGGGCACACACAGGGACAGGATTGGCTCAGCCCCTCACGGTGCACAGACCTCCTCCAGGAGCCGCCACACCACAGCCTGCAGCCCCATAGGCCATGGTCCACACCTCCCTGCTCAACACACTCTCAACCCTGAAAGGATCTAGAAGTGTGTTTTAGCTTTTATTATGAAAAATTCTAAATATACACAGTAGTTCAGACTGTCAAGAGTTCCCACATCCACATTCTCCAGCTTCAGTAGCCACCAGCACCACACTGCTTGCTGCTCCTCTCCCTTGGCCATGGATACTAGAGCTGTGACAGTGAGCCCCAAAATGGTCATTTCACCTGGCTGCTGCACAGTTCACAGAGGCAAGTTCCAACACAGCTGCAAAGCCCCTGTCACACCAGGAAAACTAACAGTAATCCCATTTATCTGAAAAAGTCTTTACAGTTATCTTTGTTCTTACCAGTAGCCAAACAAGGTCCTTTTTTTTTTTTTTACTTTATTTTGAGGCAGGGTCTCAATTGTCCAGGGTAAGATCAAACTTGTGATCCTCCTGCCTCAGCCTCCCAGCACTATTACAGAGTCTACTATTTCAATATGTTTGTTCCATTAGAAACAGATCAAAAAGACTTAAAACCAAGTAAAATTGGATTGTCTTTTGCAGGTCTGCCTTTGAGCAGGTCCATATGCCTCCAATTCTACAAGGAACCAGGAGCTCTTCCGTGTGTCTTCTCAGTAAAAGGGCTCAGCATTATGCAGTGAGCCCTGAGGTCATGGAAGGCAGGGCTGTGCTCTCACTGAGGGAAGCTTTTATCTTTGGGCCTTTGGGACAGAGAATCAGAATCATCATAATCCTTGGTTCATGACATGCTCTAATTGGTTCATGGAAGGCCTTCTTGCCTTCCCACGCACATCATCCTGTATCACCCTCTTAGTTACTTTCTCTCCTTGCTAAGTCAAAATACCTGACACCCAAAGTTAAAGGAGGAAAGGTTTAGTTGGCTTACAGTTTGTAGAGGTTTCAGTCTATAGTTGGCTGACTCCAAGGCAGGGTGGCATGGCAGAGGGACATCGAGAGGAAAAACAGTTCATGGCAGAGCAGACAGGAGGCAACAAGCAGAAGCAGCAACCCTCCTTTTTCCCTCTTACCCATCCAAGCTGCGAGCCTTTTGGGTGGTGCCAGCTACATCCAGGGTGGGGCTTCCCATTACCCACCCCCAGAGCTATGATAAGCCAGTCCGTGGACTAAAGCAGTACTGCACACTCTCAATCCACATTCACACACTGAAGCTTCAGCCACCTCTGAAAAGCCCCACCTGTAAGCACATGAGCCTTTGGGTGACATCTAGACACAGCCATGACAGTCACTGCTAACTTTCATGTTTATTCTTCCCAGTCCTGTCCCCTTGCCGCCCATCCCAAGGTGGCTCATATTATAAATTCCTTGTTTTCTTTCCTTTCTTTATAGTTTTATAACATCTCTGTATATTACCCCAAAGGTTTTTCTTTTTGCTTTTAGCTCATTTAAGACTTATTTAAATGTGATCTTTGCCACTTTACCCTTCTCATTCAGAATTATATTGCTAAGTCACTTGTGTAGCTGGTTCATTCATTTTGACTGCTGTGTGATACTTCACCCCACATGAGCTATAATGCATGTGTCTGAGTCTCCAGCCATTCTTTCCTTTGAGGGAGGAGGGTGACACAGTCCTAGTGTCTGTTGTGGGGCTGAAGTTTGTCTCAACTATCCTGATATGCTGTCCTAGGTACAATGTTGTTTTCAAGTATTTGCTGAGTGTGCGCCGGGTCCAGGCTGAACTGCAGCATTGCTGGGCCCTGCAGATGCAACGCAAGCACCTCAAGTCTAACCAGACCGACGCAGTTAAGTGGCGCCTTCGAAATCATATGGCATTCTTGGTGGATAATCTCCAGTACTATCTCCAGGTGCATGCTGGGGGATGAGCAGGAGGCAGGGGTATGAAGTCTAGGAGGTGGTAGGCTGTAGTTGAAGAGGGTCTGCAGCTCTATATTTAGTTAAGTGCTCACATTTGAGGAAACTCAGGGGTTATACCGGTCTCTCAAGGGCGTTTTAGAGGAAAGTGGAACTGTACAGACAGGGGAATAGGAGTTAGGGTCCTTGTGAGCAGTGCAGTGTTTGACTTGTCCCAGGGTGTTTGCTAGAATTTGTGGACTCTTGTAGGACTAACTAAAGTCAGCAAGCAGGGGGATGGGGCATGAGTGGGGATTAGGTTGGGGCAGGAAAGAGGGGTCCCTAAGACACTGGAAGTGGTTAGGAATTACATATATAATGTCCTGCATGGCTGTGGTCTTTGGTGAGTCTGAAAGTGCTTTGGGGAAGACAAGTGGCAGCAAGGAATTTCCATTCCATCCTGTCAGGCCTGATGTCTGACAGGATGGAACAGAGCGCTTGGAATATGAAGGTGCTGAAATTATGTGTCACTGTCTGCCAGGTAGATGTGTTGGAGTCTCAGTTCTCACAGCTGCTTCATCAAATCAACTCTACCCGCGACTTTGAAAGCATCCGGCTGGCTCACGACCACTTCCTAAGCAACTTGCTGGCTCAGTCCTTCATCCTGCTGAAACCCGTAAGTAGGGCCGGTCGGCACGGGCTGCTCCCCTAGGCACTGGAGCAGGCAGGCTAGGAAGCTCGTTAAGAGCTTGTTCAGTTCCACTTTTAAACATTTTTAACAACTTACAAAGCCAAACTGAAAGAAAATGTTAAAAGGAAACTGAAGTGTTGCTGAATTTCTGAACTTTTATATTGTAGAGGGAACAGCAACAGATAAAAGAATTACGCATTTAACCTTTTGAAAGAAAGAGATAAAGAGATAAAGAGGGCCAGGGATTTAGCTCAGTGGTTCCACCGCCTGCCTCACAAGTGCAAGGCCCTGAGTTCGATCCCTGGTACCAAAAAGAAAAAGAAGATAAATTCAGGAATATTTCTGACATTGAAGAAAAACCAATGAAAAGCAGTTGTCTTTGGGATCTGCTGGACCAGATCAACCAGCCATTTCAAAGTTGTTGCACGGACCCGTAGAGTAACAGTTGTCTCCGTGTCTGTGTGTGTGTCAGGATACATGCCTGTCTCCCTCATGGCAGTTCTCAACTTTGGCCACACAGTGGAATCCCCTGGGACCCAGAGCACTCAAATTAGAATCCCCAGAGTGGGATGCAGGCACCCTACTTCTTACTGCTTCACAGACTGGTTGCCAGTCCAGGATTAAAAGCAAGAAGCCTGAAATGATCTTGTCTTTACATCTGGCTGGCTGTGACTGCTCAGTGTGTCACAACATAGGTGCTACACCCTTCTCTTTGTGCCCTGCCATTTGGGCTGTTAGTTTTGCTACTATGTCAGCAAGTGAATTAAATAGATGCTACTCCAAAAGGTTCTGTGAATTGAAAACAACCACAACCACTGGGTAGACCTGTCATTGCATGGCACGAGTGCATCCGGGGGAAAAGCAGAGGGTCAGAACAGATCATCTCCATTGAATATTTATTTATTGAGTGCTTACTGTACGCAAGGCACTGGGGATACAGAGGTATAAGTCATGGCTCTGCCCTTAAGGAGCTCACAATCTAGTTGGAGAAACAAGACACATTTATACAGGAATCGGTGACAGCATAGGTGGCCTAAAGGATGCCAAATATACAGTACAGAGTACAGCACAGAGACCAGGGGGCTCACTAATGCTCTAAGTGTGGGAAGGGCACTCCAGACAGGAAAGAGGAGTGCTCCGGACATGAGGACAACACATAGCTCAGAGCAGGAACGTGCTCTGTGGTGCAAGCATTGTGACTGGTGGAGGAGCCTGAATGCATTCACAGGTGTTGCGACCAGGGCCAGCAGGCCGTGTGGGTAGCAGTGTGAGGTCAGGTGCAGGTCAGCTAATAAGACTTTTCCTGCATCTTTCATTTCACAGATGTGCCTGCCTTCTTTTTCTAATGGCCGTCCTCTTTCCCGAGCAGGTATTTCACTGCCTGAATGAAATCCTAGATCTCTGTCACAGTTTCTGTTCCCTGGTCAGTCAGAACCTGGGCCCATTGGATGAGCGTGGAGCTGCCCAGCTGAGCATTCTTGTGAAGGTGAGCAAGCCTGACACAGGAAGAACACGGCTCTGTCCACAGGGTAGCGGTGGTTTTGCCCTTGTGGGGTTCCTGATCTTTCCTCCAAGTTAGTAAAGCATTTCCCCAGCACACAAACACAAACAACATGATACAGAGATTAAAATGTCAGTATGAGTTGATTTTGAAGTAGATGATTCACGTGCCACCTCTGTGTTCAAAAATAGTTTCACCCTCAGTAGGTAGTTTGTTCAGCCTACCAAATGCACCTTGGCTTTGTGCTCACTTTCCCCATCCTACCTCCTTCCTTCCTTGAACTAAATTCCTCTCACTGAGATTGTCTCCCTGTAATAGAAACAAGCCCTCCCCAACCCCAGTGCATGATAGAATAGATTTATCAGACCAGCTGCTAAATTCCTACTAAAGAGAAAGTCGTTTCATAGAAAGCCTTACATTCTAAAGAACTGGTACAATACTTAAGAGGAAGTCATTACAGGAGCTGATAGAAGGGGATTATGGGAAGGCCAGGTGGCTCTGGGGAATTCTGAACAAGGGTGTTCCCAGGGGCCCCTCTGTCCTGACTCCCCAGGGAACAAGAAAGTTCAGGGGATGACAGTCTGAGGCCTTCTCTCTGCAGGGCTTTAGCCGCCAATCTTCACTCCTGTTCAAGATTCTCTCCAGTGTTCGGAATCATCAGATCAACTCAGATCTGGCCCAGCTACTGTTACGGCTAGATTATAATAAATACTATACCCAGGCTGGTGGGACTTTGGGCAGGTAGGAGCAACACGTGGAAACTGTCAACGGACTTTGTGTGTGTGGTTTTTTAATGAGCTGTGGAATTCCAGAGCAGGAAGGTGGCTTTAGTCAGCCAAACACCCTCATTATTTCATAAACAAGGCTCAAAGATACAGGAGTGTGTCTGGCCATCTTTAGTAATTTTAATGGTTATTTTCCAGTAAAAACATCAAAGTAAAATATTAAAACTGCTGACAGAAGGGCTTCATGTCCTCTGCTAGGTTATGTATTGTTGCACTGGGCAGCAGTGTGGCTTTTAGTCCCAGCTCTGACACAAAACAGCTGATGTAGCCACAGGCCCTGGGCTTTGCTGGCCCCCGGCTTCCGACTCAGAACTTTTAAAACATCTCGATTCAGTGGCAGCTGGCTTCCCAGAGGTCTGTGTTATTTCCTTTCATAAAAGCACTTTATTGCCCTCCCTTTTGTCTGAAATGTCCCTGAGCATATTTTTTTCAATGTGATTTTAGCAGGAGTCACAGAAACTCTTTGAGTGTTACGGTGAAGTTATCTAGATAATGATTTAAGTTTCTTTAAAGACAGTCTTAGAAAAGCATGATAATTTTTTTTTTTTTTTTTTTGGTTCCGGGGATCGAACTCTGGTCCTTGTGCTTATGCAGCAGGCAGCGAAACCACTGAGCTAAATCCCCGGCCCAAGAAAAGCATGATAATTAATGAGGCTCTTCTTTTCTTTTGTAGTTTTGGGATATGAAAATTTCTGCTTCCATAAACTGATAAAACAGTCAGTTCCACCAGTTTCCACGTTTATAACAGAAGATTCACAACACTTAGCCCCTCACCAAACACCGGTGCCTGACGAGAAGACTCTGCCCTTTCTCCTGGAAGCACCCAGCGGTATAACCCTTCCCATCGTCCCCATGTGACAGGTGACTGCCCCACCCCTGGGGGATTCCTAATTTGCCGGCCAAGGAGGACCTGTGGGATCATCCACTGTCCCTCTGCTGACCTGGAGAGAGCTTGGCTTCCTCACCCTGAAACATCTGCTGGATATGTTCATGTAGGCAATTTTATTAAGCATTTACTGTATGCCTTGGTACAATTCAGGGTGTGGGAGATTCAGCAGTAAACATCAGAAAGTTACATAGTTTGTGATTGAGAAGTAAAAAAGAAATTATTAACAGTTTAACTGCTGGATATCACCACCAACTAAGACACAAGACAGGCTTTCCCTCATTGTCACGCGTAACTTACACCTACACAGATTATCTTTCCTCCTTCAGAAGTGGATGATGGAAAGTCTCCTACCCTTAAGGATCTTCAGAACTGTGAATGTGAAGAATTTGGTCAGTAAGCCCCAGCCCTTTTAGACAAGTAAAAGGGCAACTCTACCTAATGACAGTAAAAAGCATTTCTCTCAAAGAAAAAAATCATTAATGTTCATATGGGTGTAGACAAAGTCAATATTCACTGAACTCCCTCAAGTTAGAAAAAAAAAAAAAGCAAGTTCTGGCCTCAGTTTGTAGTCACTAAACCTGGTCTTCTAGCACACACTGTGAAACCCTTAGTACCCCTGCAGCTGTGAACTAAAGATGACCCTCCCACTGCTGCCACTAGAGCAGGGCTTGGCAAGCCATCACCTGCTGTGTGCTTCTGTGCACAGGGTTTGCTGAAACAGCTACACTCGGGTCTCCCTAGTCTGTGACTGCAGACAGACCAGATGGCCCACAAAACCTAAAGTCTTTACTGTTTTGGCTCTTTGTAGAAAACATCTATTGACCTCCATCTAGAGGAGAGGATATTACAGAGATGACGCTGGGGCCAGGGAAGGAAGAGCTTCCGGCTGCTGTGAAGGAAGGAGTCAGAGTTGGTTTCTGAGTGGAGCGTTCAGTGTCCCTTTAACCTAACAGAGGCACTGTCCTCTGACCGCACCCGGTCCCTTTAGCTTTCACCTGAGCACGGGACGGCCGCCCACGGGTCAGCAGTCCAGAGTGAACCCTGCTCAGAAGGAGCTGGCCGCTGTCCCGCTCCACGTTTGGCCTAGTAGTCTGGTCCCTTGCCTACTTCAAAATCAGATTTTTGGAGCTACAGCATTTTAAAGAGCCTGGATCGCTTTCTGACAGTGATGCCCAAACAAAGTTCACTGCCGAGTTTGTGAACAGGCCTATTGAGAACCTCAGAGAAAGTCCTGTTTGTCTTGTTTGCTGAGATCAAGCTCGAAGAAACAGATGAAGAAATCCCAGTTACTACAACCAAAGAGATTCAACATTTATTTTATCATAAAAGTCCAGCAAATAAAACTATATACAAGATCCATGCAAAGAATCCAGTTACACACAAGACACATTTAAAACCTGGTTAAAACACAATCTCCACAATAGTAGGGAATAAAACCAGAAAGACCAAATATCTTTAGTGAGAAACATAATTGTGTTTGTATTTTGGATGCTGCTTGAATCCAATTCTCTCGCCAACAATGAGGCACTGGATTACCCACTCTTGTGACACCACAGGCAGCTGCAGTGCTTCAGCACACTTCAGCACGGAGGCTGGGCACGAGGGGTCTGTCACTACCACGTCAAACACCCCTAGAGCAATATCTGTAGGGAGCGAGGAAGGGAATGAGGAAAGGACAATTAACTCAGTCCTCCATTACAAAGACAGCAGTGCCTTCTTGCCAGAGTACCCCACTTTGCCCAGACCGAAACGCCATTACGTCGAGCACAAGTGAAAGTAAAAAGGTGATTGCTAGATGGCGACCATGTAGAAAAGCTTAACTACACCACAGAAAACCAGGGGTGTGAACAGCCCACTGCTTCACTCACGTCTACTCACCTCCTGAAGGTGGGACTCTCCCGAGTATGGGCAAGGTCCACCTATCAGGACTGACGAGTGCACAAACCCAAGAGCCACAGGTCTAAGGGCATCCCTGGGGTGGGGGACAAAGCGCATACTGCACAGGTACCTTTGTTATGGGCACTCGAATGGTGCTGCTTCACAGAGGCTGCGCCTCCGGTCATGAGGATCTCAGACCAGAGCTCCAGGAAGTTCTGCTGCTGATCTGACACTAAGAGCACCTTCAGATTCTGAAAAGGGTTTTCCCGGGGTTGCCTGTGAAGGAGTCAGAGACAAGGCCCTTAGGAACTGAAAAGGACCTGAGAGTAACAGATACTATCCGGCAAACAGCTCTTACACAAAGGATCTTGTGTGTATAAAATGCTTTCAAAGCTAAGCCCCACATCAGGGTCACCCCCTTCCTTCCCTCTGCTTGTGAGTGAGGTGTATTCTCTGGGATCCCTTCCTTCTGCTCTACTATTCTGACTTCTATGTTTGTCCAGGGGCTGGGAATAATCCAAATCATGTTCCTGAGCTTTGTTTTTTCTTTTTCTCTAAATGCTTGCTTGCAACTTAGTTCCCCATACTTACAAGTTGGGACTATTGAATCTATATGCAAATCCTCACACATTTTCAAAAGTTTCCTTCCTAATTAATATGGAAATAAACTCTGAAATAAATGAACTTCTGAAATCTTTTTTTTTTTGGTAGCAGGGATCGAACTCAGGTCCTTGCACTTGCGCAGCAGGCGGCAGAAACCACTGAGCTAAATCCCTGGCCCTCTGAAATCATTTTAAACCCACTCAAATTCTGTGACTTATCCTACAGCTATTGCAGTTTCTAAAAACATGTATTCTCTCCTTTAAATTCTCCTTCCAAAAGCTGTCTTCTACCTTATCTGTTCAGCTTTGGATGGATTCCTAAATACTCACCAATCCAGAATTCTCTGCTCCTCAAGGCTGTATCCAGCTGGCAATAGATAATTACGGTAGTTTTGGAGCTGGTTAGCATGGCAACTGTCATGGACCCAGACATGAGACACACAAGGAATCCCACTGGCAAGGCACAGGAAGTACTTCCGGGTTCGACAATGCTGATCAGCAATTAGGAGACACTGGTAGGCCGTGTTACACTGGAAGAAAAGGCACAGAGCCAATGGGTGTGGTGATGTCTGTGGAAGGTTCATGAACAGCAGCCCTAGTGAACTAGAGAGGGGCATATCCAAAATACTGGAGTGAGTCTGTCCTTGTGCCCTAGGATGTTCTTCTCACTGAAAGCCCCAGACTTTGCCTAGACTAGTTAGTGGCGACCTGTCTTAGAGCTTTCAGTGATACAAACAGCCTGCTGCAGCACACAAGCCATAGATTTGCCACCACTGCCCTAGACATCTTCTCTGACTCACTTGCAGCTTCTGGTGGGCCTGAGTCCTCAAGGGACAACCAAAGCCATGTACTCAGCATTTCAGGCTAAGAATCTGCAACACTAACACTAGTAGGAATTCTACTAAACATAAATTTCAATCTGCTTTTGTCCCAGCAGCAGAACCACAGCCACTAACTAACTCAGTTCTAATGTCTCTTCCTGTTTTCATGCAAGTTTTTTAACCATTCCCAGGCTCCTGAAACCTCTGGCTACTTTATCTAAACTTTCAAGACTCTCAGGGCAGAAAGTAGGCTTTTATCATTGCCACTCAAGGTGGCTGCACAAAAAAATGCCTCACCTGGGCTTCATTGAAATCTTCAAGGATATAGCCAGCTCCTGCTCGAAGCTGGGATTCCGTGTACTGCTTGTTGAAAGGAGGAATTTCTAAAAATTCTGTATTAAAAAAAAAAACTCAAGATAAAAATACGAGTTGGACTCCTCTCCTTCAAGCCTCCATCTTACTGCCTCCCCTGCTACTTTCCACCCATCTCCACGGCAGTGTGTCCCAGACAGATCTAGGGTTTCCTTGGAGCTCAGAAGGAAATCTGTCTTGAGACTACAAGAAGGGACAAGAGCAGGAACGACTGACTGGAAAGATGAGGATGGAAGGCAGGTCTTAGACCTGAAAACACTAATGGTTCCCACATACACCCCCTTCCCAGGGATATGACCCCTGCCATCAGGAAGCTCTGCTATGTCTACCCTAAATCTCCTGCTGCCAATTAATCCCAGTTCCTCTACTTCTGCCTTCTGTGGAGATGAAGAATGACTGAGAATCACTTTTTAATATATAATAAGCCTTCAAATTCCCACTTCAGCCTTTTTGTATCCCTTGTATACTAGAAATCTGATAAACCAGAATGCACAAAGTGTAGTTTTTAAAAACGTAACTAAGGTTAATCAGGTTTCAACCTTTTGTGGAAAACCATCTACCTTTGCTGGTCTTGAAGGACCTCAGGACACTGAGCACCGTGACTTCTGGTCTTGAGGGTGAAGGAGAAGGTACAGATGAGGCTGAAGCTGTAATGACCCTGGGCAGCTAGAAATTGCTTCTGTGACCAAATATCTAATTTGAGCTTATTTTCTTATCATCTGCTCATCTCATATATTAACACATTTTTTAAAAAGTCATTAGAGATTTTAATGAGGCATTCTAGGAAATTAAGCTCTAATTAAAATTTTATCACAAAAAGCCCAACCCAGCACATAAAGTTCAATGCCAGGCCCCCTCCCCTTTCCCTCACCCATGGGGAAGGAAGCTAGTTCAGCCAAGCCCTTGCAGAGATGTCCTTCAGTGCCCTCCCTTCCTGCTGGAGCTGTCCAGGTGGCAGTGAAGGCCAATCCCAGGTCTTGGCTGCTTAGCTTAGGAATGATGTGGCCAGCCTGTTCACTTGTATTCCTTTATTCTTTTTTTTTTTTTATTGGTACCAGGGATTGAACTTGGGTCCTTGCAAAGAACCACTGAGCTAAATCCCCAGCCCTGTATTCCTTTATTCTTAATTCAGAATTTTCCACATTCTCAAAAACCTAAACTAGAAACTCTTAATGTTTATAAGAAATTCAGAATACAACTTTTGTCACAGGATCATTTTGGTACAGTGGTACCTCGGTTTACAAATTGTATTCATTCTACGATTCTGGAAAAGATGGCCATATGGAACTTGCAAACAGAACCAAAATTCTGCTGAATGCTTCTGTTTGCAAACCAAATTGTTTGCTATTTAAACAGAAGTGTTCGTGAACTGAGGCATTACTGTATTTCAGTGTATGGTGTCATGATCTTTAGGACCAAGACTGCTGAGTCACTGCCGACACCTTCCTGGTTCTTTATTCTTCTCAAGACTTCTACTGTAAATCTGATTAATCCAGGACTGTTCCTAGTCCTCATCTATTTAAGTTTCAATTCCCAGTAACAAGTCCTTATATTTGTATTATCAAGTATTACTCTCTGCTCAAGTAGTTCATTTCTCAACTTAGTTTGGATTCAGTTTTCTTGAGTTCTGGGTATGAGTGCTCTGCTCAACTGAAGGCTACCGTCAACAGGTTTTTTTATTCCACCTGTAGACGTAAGATGAAGGTACTAAACAAACCCAGCTCCAGAGCCAGTTCTGTGTCTGATGTGGAGACTGGGTGCCACATTCCTAACTGTGCATTAATAAATAATGTCTCCTAAAGTAGACTTACATATCTTACCATCCTCCTGTTGTAAACTAGCGTCTAAAAATTCCCATCTGTAACATCTACTACACAGTTTCTTAAAAAGCAAATCAGAGGATTGTTTTGGGGTTTTGTTTTGGTTTTTTTTTGGTTCCGGGGATTGAACTCAGGTCCTTGCGCTTTTGGGGCAGGCGGCGGAACCACTGAGCTAAATGCCCAGGCCCAGCAGAGGATTGTTTTAGTACAGATGTCTTCAGCCTTGACATGGAAAAGCCCCTAAGCATTCTCACACCAAAATTATCAACTCTGCCGCTCTACGGCAGCGTGCAAGGATGGAGGAACTGACATAAAGTGTACACGTTTCACATAAGCACACTTCCTACCAAAACCTGGGTGATCCCTTAAAACAAATCTGTCCAAATTCCTCATTTACTTTTTGTGAAGAGAGTTTATGAGGTCTCACACAGGCACACAGATTTTTCAGAAAATGAAAAACAGCTTGCACTCATGCCACAGTCAGCTTTTTGACTATGCTGTAGCAATAAAGCATCTAGAGAGCTGGCTGTGAAGTGCTGGCTTCAGGAAGCCTAGCAGTTTGTTAGAGATTATGAAAGCAAAGCCATCAATATTTGTTTCAACACCCTTAGATATTTCTACACAATCCTCAAGGGACACCCCACATATTTACGATCAAAGTAAACTACATCCTTGCCAAAGGAGCTCCTCACATACACTGTTGATCTCCCAACTATACCCGTTTGAGTTCTGTTGACAAACTAGGCTTTGTTCCCGCCACAGGGAACCCTTACAAACCCACATGTACTTCCCCTGCTTCCACAGCTCACCTCCCTGAGCCAGAGCATCTCTCCCTCTGCACCTCCCACACAGCAGTGATCTTGACTGCAACTCCCTGACCACTATGCCTGTGTCTTAATGCACATCTCTACATAGCTGGCACTGGGGAGAGGTTCTGGCTAATTAGGACAGAGCTATCCACGCCCCTGAAACGCCTACTACATTGTCAGTGGTGCCCACCACTGACCACCACCCTCACTAATTTCAGTTCCCTCTTGTAGAAGGACATCAGTCAGCTCTCCCACTTACAGAGTCATCCTCCATCTAGCCATGTGGCCTTGACAGACACCTCAGGATGTTACTGCCACCCGCTTAGTGTATTTATTTGTATCTGCTCTTGCACACCTAGATCACATATTTTTCAGACCAGTGAACACCCTTATCACATCTGTCCTCAGGCAAAAGTAACAGACAACAAAAAAATGCAATTATATAGATTTAGCCTTAAGTTGATGAGAGGTAAAAGTTAAAACAGCCTAGAAGTTAATTCTCTCAAATTACCATGGGGCACTGTGCACACCACAGTCCCAGTCTTACATTCTGACTTCAAGAGAATGAAACTCACCTTCCATGTGGGTTTCCTCTATAGCAGTTACCCCTAAAACACGAATGGGGAGGGCCTGGGATTTAGTTCTGGTTCTGCCGCCTGCCTCGCAAGCGCAAGGTCCCAAGTTTGATCCTTGGTACCAAAAAAAACACGAATGGGGAAGACAACAGGGCATCCAAAAGCCTGGGTGACTTGGATGGCTTTAAGAGGGTAAAAGGACCACTGGGTTCTAAACTTCAACTCTACCATTACTATGGACAAAAAGCTAATTTTCTTTCTTAGCCAATTTCCTCCTATATAAAATGGATAACAAAAATCCTCCCATCTGCCTACCAGGATTGTTTTGAGGAACCACTCACTAAGGAATTCTGTGAAAGGAGTCTATAAACCAGGAAGTCAAACTAACTTTTACTTCCTTGCCCAAGATTCCAAGTGCCCCTTCCCCAAGGGGACCAACAGCTCATACAGTGAATGGACAGGAAGAAAGTGCATACATATCAGCTCTGAGGGCTTCCTAAGGCCTTACCTTCCTCTTCCTCACTGCTTCCAGTAGGGAGATCTGGTAGTTTGGAGCGGCTGGCCAACTTGTCGCTTGTTGTGGCCATGGTGAGGAGAAAGGCATAACCCAGAAACAAAGTCTTGTTGAGAGGCAAAGGCCCCCTCTGCTCTTCCAGGACAGAGGGGTCAGCTGTGTTGTCTCCGCTCTCACAGGGGCTCACAAATTCTCCTGCCCCAACCGCACCTGAGACAGACAAAACATGGTTACCAGAGCAATGAAGACCACTCTCTGGACAAAGGCCCTCGCACCTGATGGATGCACAGGCCATGTCCTGATGCACTTGTCTGAGCTAAGACCCACAGACCATTACCATGGCCAATCACTGGACATGGCCAACAACCTAGAACCAAATTACAATGAAGAGAAATTTACAATTTGAATTTTATAGTTATGACAATATACAGGACATTTTCATAAATGAAAACCAACTAGTATTGTTTCTTATGGCCAAACCCAGTACTTCCAAAACTTCCCCGGCCATCTGAAGTAAGAGATGAATAGGTAAGAGTGAAAAGTGTTTGGAAATCTTCAGGCCACTCGTGCTGCCCAGTGCTTGGGCTTCCCCCAGGATATGTGATATTTTGAAGCAGGCTTTTAAAAAAATAAATAAAAATTTAAAAATTAAAAAAAAAGATAGTCCCCCTCCCCCAAAAAGAGAACTTTTCTTACCAAGCACTATAATGGGGAGATTCCCCACCTCATCTCTGACCTTCACAGGAATGGTGCAGAGAAGACTTGGTGACCAAGTACTTTTATGTGGAGACAACACCACATCAAAATTCCCTGCCTCAGCCATCTCAGGTTCCAACACCTGAGGAGGTGAGTGACCCAGCCCGTCCAGGACTCCCAGAACACCCATGCCAGAAGTGCCCCAGTGAGTCCTTGAGAAGAAGAGCGGGTACCTGGCCTGGAGAAGCGGAACCATGGGCTCGCTGGGAGGCTAAGATGACAGCCAGGTCATGCAATGCCTCCCTACAACAAAAGCAGCCGCAAAAGAACAGTCTTAGAGACAGAGTGACGGTCATGTGCACACAGCTGGACTTCCAAGTCAAGATGGGCCTAATCTTGGCTTACTCTGTCACCCTGGGGAAGTTAAACAACAAGTATTTCTGTGCCTCAGATTCCTCAACGGGGAAACAAAGTCTAGCACTGTACGTTAAGAGATCATACATGGGATAGTATGTATGTAGCAGTCAGGCTCAATGCCTCACACTAAATACACAGTAAAGATACTGCTTTTAAATGCGGCAAACACTGTACTGGCGAGAATACAAAGCCCACACAGAAAACAAAAGGACTCTGGTGCTAGAACTTAGTCACAGCAGCACGTCAGCAGCGCAGCCATCAGGGCAGTGGGTGAGGACTTTGCCTCCATCTCCAGAACCCGAGCCGCTGGGTCTGGGCCATGGTAAAGATTAAATAAACAACGGGCTGCCTCCTAACACTGGGCACAAGCAACTGACTGGAGGACAGTGAGGAGAGGAAGGCACGGGCTTAGCACAGCCTTTCACAAGGAAGCCTGAGAAAGCCGGGAGACAAAGGTGGGCCAAGCAAGACACAATGTACTGGTTTTGATTCTTCTGGAAATTCAGCCCACCCTTCCCTCCTGGAGCCTACACAAGAGTCAGTGAATGTGAAACAAGTCATGGTCTATCTAACTGCACTGGACTCTGCTCAGAGGACAAGAAGTCAGGACTTGAGGTAAACTGAGTGCTACCCATGGCTTAGGGGACCCCAACTCTATAGCCAGGGCAGAGGAGTTATTGTTATGTATTAGGCTCCATCTTCCCAAGAGCCAACCCTTCCTTCTGCCACAGTCTGAGGAGGAAAGACAGGGAAGGAAGCACTCACCAGGCTTCACAGGGGCAGACTTTCGCCCTCTCTTGGCAGGGGACCGGTCCTCTTCGGAGGTGATCAGTTTTCTTTTGCCTGAGGGAACTCCCACAGAGGCCCGAGGACTTTCCATGATCTTCCGGGTGGGCGTCGTGCTGCTGCTGCTGGAGGCAGTAGGAGTGGCTGGGGAGCTGACGTTACTGCGCCGCTTCCGCTTACCTTCCACCAAATTGTCTATGGTACAAAGTCAAACTTTGGTCAAATGAGTGGATTGGTTTGAGGCCCTGAACTCCAGAACAATGGACAGAGCCTGACCTAGAAACCACATTGCTTTCCTCCCATCCCTCAGAGGGACAGAAAATCTCATTTTCAGGCCATATTTCATGTTCCAATCTTTGCCATAACCAAGATGTGTTTGGTCCACTATAGAACTGGGGAGACCAGAAAAACCCTGAAGACTTACTGCTTGTTCCTAGGAAGGAAACAGGTAAGGTGGTAGCCTAAGAAGTGACAGTTCACTTTCTGATAAGCCACACGGGGGAGTAAGAGTTAGGGAAACATCACCGGTGGCTCTACAAACGTCTCCTCCATCAATGCAGAGAGGGCCACAGGTACTGCTCACACAGCAACGGTCTTACCTAAGCTGATGTCTGCCGCCTTTGTGAGAGGCGTCACCGCCTCGTATGGACCAAGCCCATACTGCTCTCTCAGTCTGTTTCCTTGCTCCAAAGACAGGATGACCGCCATTCGTTTGTACCACTTCCTTTGGCCTTCCTTCTCAATGCTGTAGTATAGCTCCCCAGACTCCTTCCTATGCCCTTTCACCACTCCTGGGAATAAAAACAAAAGCCTACTGTTGTTTTAGGCTGTGTACCACCCACTCTGCAAAGCAGGCCAGAGTCAGGGAGCTCAGAGATCCAACAGTGGGATGCACATTAGGATTTAACAGAATTCAGGGTAGTAATCTCAAATGGTAACACTTAGGATACATATAGCTACTACTCTGGGATTGGGACAAGAAAAGTCCCCCAACAGGGGGCAGTATTTAATGATAAAATAACTTAAAGCTTCCCGAGGCCAGGCTTACAGACAGTATTTCAAAGGTTTGCTTTGGAGTGACATGGCATGGGTTCTCTAGAGGCCACACATAAGATTTAAGTGGCAGCTGAAGAATGACATCTCATTCTAAGAGACAACATGTATATGGATGTTTGTTGTGTAACAAAATCAGAATACAGAGCTAGACCAAAGAAAGAGGAACAAGAAAGATCTTGTTCTTTTGCTAATCTACCCTTCCTATTATCTACTTCCTTGCTCTTGCTCTGATTCAGAACCTGAAGATAAGGCCTTGATGTTCCAGGAACACAAGGTGGGGCCTAACGGAAACTGGGCTAGAATTCAGCAGACCTGAGCCTTAGCCTAAATTTGCTAAGCAATCTTGCCAAGACTGTGAAAGAAAACACTTTTTATTCCCCTGTATTAAGAAGCAATTTACAGGGGCCGGGGATTTAGCTCAGTGGTTTCGCCTCCTGCTGCGCAAGTGCAAGGACCCGAGTTCGATCCCTGGTACCAAAAAAAAAAGAAACAATTTACAGGGCCAGGGATTTAGCTCTGGTTCCACTGCCTGCCTCACAAGCACAAGGTCCCAAGTTCGATCCCCAGTATCAAAAAAACGAAAAAGAATTCAGAGTATGCACACAATACATGCAACATAACAAGGCACTACTATTAACATTTTTTCATTCATCTTGACTACTTGCTTGTGCTTGAATGAAAAACTAACACACATCAAGATACCTCACCAAGGAAAAGAGTACAGAGGAGAAAGCAGGCACTGGTTCTTTGCTGTTGCACAATCTCTTTCCCTGTGCTTGTTCACCTGTAGCTTACATCTCTATAACCAAATTACACAGAGTCCACCTCAAAAGGACAAGAAACCCATGGTCACAAAGCATTAAGAGCTACTAGAACTAGAAAGAGTATGGTGCTAATGTCAGGAGACAGCCTCAGTAAGTAGAACACGGCATCTCTACCCTGGGATACTGCACTGTCTGGCTCAGAGGACCCAATGTGGACCTCCGAGAGTGGCTTCATCCTTGAAAGAAGAACTAACTCATTTGGTACAAACTGAACCCCAGGTCCTAAAAGACCCACTCCATGCTGCTCCCACGGAGGCCACAAAGCTGATGGTGTCATCCAGACAGTTTAACAAACAGCAACTCCTTGGGGAATTCCACATACTCAGGTGCCTCAAAACTGCAACAGAAGCACATGCTTGTCCCTGATATCCCAATCCATGTTCAAAAAAATCCCCAGAAAGGATGACAAATGACAAACTCAATACAAATAGGTATTTTCAAATTTGCTCATAGAAAGGAGAGAATATAGACAAAGAACTAGCACAAGGAACAATAAAAACATGCAAAATCCCTCACCAATACCAATAGTGGCTTCTACAAAACTAAAAATCAGGAAAGCACTGTTCTTCCAACCAGATAGGGACTGCCAGATACACAAACGGCACTAACCACCTCTGCCTACACTGTAGTCCCCCTGTATCTGCCACACTCCTATACCCATCAAAGCACGTTACAAGTTAAGTCAGTGGAAAAGAACAGAATGTGTAAGGGAAAACACTAACATTTAAAATGGAGAAATATGGTGAACACACCTTGACCATCGGTCACCAGAGACGGCCTGCAATGTCAAATGCCTTCTTCAGCCCCCATGAGATATGGGAAGGGCACTGCACCTCTGTGGCATTATTAAAAAAACCCTAACTCCAGTTCAACAAGACATTCAACAAACCCAGACTCAGGAATATTGTATAGGTATCCGACCAGTATTTCTCAAATTGTCAAGAACAAAAACGGTCAAAGTCACAAAAAACAAAAAACAAAACTGCCACAAATCAGACCAAACCAAAAAAACATGATGACTAAATGTAACATGGGGTCTAGATCAGAGCCTGGAACAGAAAAAGAGAAATTCAGTGAAATCTAAATCTTGTCTGGAGTTAATCATAAGGAATCAATGTGGTTTCTTGGTTCTGACAAACTAAGATGCTAAGAATGCTAAATTAAGATGCTAAGAATAGGGAAAATGGGGTGAGGCGTATACAGGAACTCCCTGTACTAGCAGCATTCTGTACACTGCTAATATTCTGTAAGTGCAACGTTATTCTGAAATAAAAAGTTTATCCAAAACAAGCATCAAATTAAAAACAGTGGCAAAAAAAAAAAAAAGCCAGTGGCAAGAGTAACCAACGCGGTAGAAATGGCATCTGACTTGAGTGGAGGGCATCTTGGTAACTGCCGGCAGAGAAGTGCTGGTAGCCCCAGGCAGTGACTCTCAACACTGCTTCCTTATTACCTGCACTGAAATACTCGTCCTCCGAGAGCGCAGTCACCTCAGTGTCCAGAGGGATGGGGTCGCACAGGAGAATGTCTTTGCCCAGCACGTCACACTCATACCCATCGTCAAAAAGCAATTTGTACTTCCCAGCTCCCACATCTCGTGTGATTTTCCCAGAGTAAAAATAACCATTGGATGACCATTTGGCTACAACACGGAGCCCTACAAAGCTGTTCCCTGGAGAGGAGGCATCTAAGCCGTCCGAGCCAGCAGCAGCCTGGAAAGGTATCTCTGGAGAGTCGCTACGATGCACAGCACCAGCACCCACATCTGCTCTTCTAGTAGTGTCTGGTATGCGGGGCAAAATTCGGGCAAAGGACTTGTCATCTGGTGACACGCTGGGTGAAATGTCTTCTATGCCCAATGGGCCAGGTACAACTGCTTCTCTAAAATGAGGTAAGAAATAGAAAGCACTGAGAATAAGGCAACAGAGGTGCACCTCTACCAATTCCCCCGTTCATCCATGTGTCTCTTTACTGGTCCTCCGCGAACCCCATCGCAGGTCCCACTCCGACCCCGGCCCGCCCCCCACTCCCGCGGGGCCGTCTTCCCCTCCTGACACCCACGTATTCTCCACTTCCCTCTCTTCTCTCTACTCCCCTTATCTCAGAACAGGTCATGGGCTGCATATTATCTCGCACGGGCTGGGTACCTGGTTCCAGTAGTCCGAGAAGGCGGACGGCCCCTTCGCCCGCGCCCTCGAGGTGTGCCTGGAGCCTTCCCGCCCTGTCTGACGCCAAGGCCTGGATCGCCATCCTCCTCACACAGTGGTGCCCCTGTCTGACTGATTCCTTTCCTAGGACTAGAGAACAAAGACAAGTCAGTGTGATGGCACCTGCCACTGGATCCTTTCCCCCCAGGGCCCTCTGACTACATGCCAGGCTACATGTGCTCAGCCTACAGAGCAGTGGAATGGGGTAGTACATCAAGGACATCTTTCTGTATGAAAAACTATTTCCTCCTGACACAGCTTCCTACTGCTGCCCTCAAACACAGCACACCTATTTCTGCCCTCTACTTCAACTTGTGAAGTAGCTAAAAAAAAAAAAGCTAAGCGAGGGCTGGGGATCTAGCTTAGCGGTGCCTCTGCCTGCCTCGCAAGCCCAAGGTCCTGAGTTTGATCCTCGGTACGGCAAAAAAAAAAGCTAAGTGATACATCAAGTTGGGGCCACCACCCCGAACTTCGTGCACTCCCAAGAGAAATATGTACATATTGCAGACTATTGGGGCTGTAGGAGCATGTGCCCAGCGTTTCCAAAGTTCCTCACCTGTCTGTTTTTGTTTTGGGGGCGTTTTTTTGGTACCGGAGATTGATCTCAGGACCTTGCACTTGCAAGGCAGGCACTGTGCCACTGATCAAAATCCCCGGCCCGCCTCACCTGTTTTCTGTACAGTTTCTCAGGGGCTCCTCTGACAACACAGTCTACTTCCCACCAGACTCCTCACATACCAACCCCAGCCGGGAGAGGAACAAATGAGGAAGGGGCCGCTTTAACCTGGATGAGGAAGGCTGCCCCTTCCCTGCCCTTTCTGTGTGATATTAAAAGCTCAGCAACCCTCTCCCTGCTGTGGCTCTCTCTGGAGACCCTGTCTGCACCTCAGTTTTCCTGGGCCTCCTCGGGTGCTGGGTAAAGCGAAATCTGTGGGTTCTGTCCCGCTGCTTTTCCCTTTGAGTGGCCCGGCTCCTCGCCCTGAGCTGCCACTGCTGTGCAAGGCCGAGAGGCTCGTCCCACTTGACGTGCGGTGCAAGCTGGATGCCTTGGAAGAGAAGGAGCTGACGTCCCCCAGATCACCTGAGGAGCCCCCCGTCCGTGAAGGGGACACTTCAGTCTCACACTCCTGACACTCCACAATTGGCTCTTCAGTCTCCTGCAGGAACAAATGGATAAAGAAGCTAGAAGAAATCACACATGGGCCATCAGAACGGCCACCCTGACGGTGGACGAGAGCAGCATCTTGCTGCAGCACACGGATTACAGGGCGAGATCCATCCTACAAGACGGCCGGATCTTCGCTGGTCCCTTCAAGGCTTTCGACAAGCATGTGAATTTGATGCTCTGTGACTGTGATGAATTCAGGAAGATCAACCCAAAGAACTCTAAGCAAGCAGAAAGGGAAGAGAAACAAGTCCAGGGTCTGGTGCTGCTTCTAGGGGAGAACCTGGCCTCGATGACAGTAGAAGGACCTCCTCCCAAACATACCGGCATCGCCCGAGTGCCGCTTGCTGGAGCTGCTGGGGGCCCAGGAACTGACAGGGGGGTGGGTAGAAGAATCCCAGCTGGTGTTCCCATGCCACAGGCCCCTGCAGGACTTGCTGGGCCAGTCCGTGGGGTTGGTGGGCCATCTCAACAGGTGACGACCCCACAAGGAAGAGGCACTGTTACAGCTGCTGCAGCTGCTGCCGTAGCTAGTACGGCAGGGGCTCCGGCCAGTACCCACCCCCTCCAGGCACGATGGGCCCTCCTCCTGGCATGCGGCCACCCATGGGTCCCCCAGTGGGGATCCCTCCTGGACGAGGGACTCCTATGGGCGTGCCCTCTCTAGGGATGCGCTCCCCCCTCCCCGGGTATGCGAGGCCTTCTCTGACCTTGGCCAGTTACTGAAGTAGCAAGCAGCTCCACAGAAGCGTGGGCCCCACTCCCCAGGGCCACGTTACCACAGACCTGATTGTTATGCTGTTCCCAGAGTCTCACGCGATTGTCTGGTTTCCCTTACAGGGTCCGTCCCCCGGGAATGTGCCCACCAAGACCCTAGACTCATCTTGACCCTCCTCTGCTCCTTGCCTATTTCCTGTGAGGCTGTACATAATCCTTTTATTTCTTGTGGCCTATGAAACTGATTTATAATAAACTCTTAAGAGAACAGTAGAAAAAAAGAAATCACATGCTAAAGTGATGGCTGGAAAATTCTAGAGATAACAAGAAAAGTTTAACTCAGAAAGGTGAGAATCAGGTGGAAACTTTCTAGAATAATGGAAATGTTCCACACTAACTTTGAATAGTGGCTGCATAAAAGTGCAAAAACACCGAAATCCCAGATACTTGGGAAGCTAAGGCAAAAAGACTGCAAGTTTGAGGCCAGCCTGGGCCAACAGAGTATGCTGACCCCACCTCAAAAAATAAAAGAAAAAGTCAAAATCCACTAAACTGAACACTTAAGATCTATTCATTCTACTGGGGATATATGATACCTCAATAAAAAGTAAAGGTAGTAAAAGACTGAGAAAAGGGAAACCAAGCTAGGTTAAATTATCTTTTCATTGGGCAAGTTCACAACCTTTGGCTGTCAGCAAGGACTCTAACCCAGAAGACACCCTGTCTAAGAGAAACAGGGCGGGCAGGCAGGAAGGTTGAAAGGGGAAATGATGGTTAGGAGCCTTCTGGTACTTCATTAACAACGGACAGCATTACATGTTTTATGATATTAGTGACTTTATATTGCCTTTCAATAAGTGATCAAGAAAATAGAAGATTATAGGCAAAAACAAGACTAAAAATGGTATTGCTGTTTGGAAAAATGAAGACCAAAAAGGTAATAAAGTATAAGAGTTTTCAGCATGTACAGAATAAAACATCAAACTGGGCCAGGGATTTAGCTCAGTGGCACCACGCCTGACTCACAAGCACAAGGTCATGAGTTCAATCCCCAGTACCAAAAAATAAAAACAACACATCCAACTGGCTTCCTCTCATATGCTGCACTTTGATGGGCTGGTCATGGCTGCCTGGAGCTCAGTTGGTTTTTTTTTGATACCGGGGATCAAACTTGGGTCCTTGCACTTGCAAGGCAGGCAGCGGAACCACTGAGCTAAATCCCCGGCCCTGGAGCTCAGTTTTAAGAAGCTGTCAGAAGCCAAACCCTGGGCTTAGTAGGGAAAATTCTAGAGTCAACCAGCAAACACTTGAAATTCCAACCCACCCCCAAAAGCCACGATGACGTCTCTATTTCAATGAACCCCAGACACCCCCAGTAATTTCACAACCCCAGCAGCTTTCTCTAGTCAGCATCCAACTCTCCATGATAGTTTGCCCGACCCTTGCAGGCTTCCTACCTCCGGCTGCACCAAACCGCTATTCTCTTCAACCGTGCTCCTCCCTTCCTTCATCGTTACCCACTGACACCCCCCAATCATGCTCATGCATGAAGAACTTAACCCTTGGTTCATACCCTCCCTGCTGTCCCCACCCCTCCTATTAACAGCACTGTCAGTGGCTGATATTTATTAGGTGATTTATTCAGCAACTTCCAAGTCTCCTGAGCTACCAACAAGATTTTCCTCTATGTAACCTTAGCCACATTTCCAGGGTCACTACTATACCCTTTAAAAGTGTCCATCGTAAAGGTACCACTCTCCAATCACCTTCTCTTAGCATCCAGCTTAGCAGCTCTGACTGGATCTGAGCGAGCACAAGCGGCAGGGTCATGTGACTAAGGCAGGCAACAGAGTCCCAGACTTTCAGTCAAATTCCTCTCTGCAACACAGCCGTGTGTAGGATCCCCAGTTGTGTCTCAGTTCGAGAGTAGACCCAAAGAGCAAGAGCCAGCCTAGCCAACCCTGCAACTGTTCCAGAGTCATTCTTAGCACCAGCAAGGCCCAGACTCCGAGTCAGCCTGGTATGGCCTTTTTGGTGTTTGTCTTCCTGTTTCTCGTGCAGGCCACATGAAGACAGAGATCTCACCATCTTTCCTCTAGGTATAGTCCCAAAGTCTTGCACAGTACCTATCCTAATGAGGCCCTCGGCTGGGCTTGGTGCCACAGGCCCGTGTAACTCCAAGACTGGGAGGTGAGGTAGGAGGATCACAAGTTCAAGCCCAGCCTGCGAAACTTAGACTCTTGTAAGACTCAAAAAAGAAAGAAAAAGGACTGGAGATGTAGCTCGGTGCAAGGCCCTGGGATCAGTTCTCCATACTGAGGAAAAAACTGAGACCCTCAGTAAGTTTTTACTGAACAAAGGATCGTCTCTCTCAAACCAGTACCTCATTTTCTCCATCTCAGCCCTGGCCATCTAGTATGTGGCCTGCCAGGAATCAGACTCCTCTGCTGAAAACCTTGCATTTAGGGCTCACTAGGGTCCCTGCGTTTATATATATAATTTTTCCTCCCCCTCTCCTCTCTCTCGATCCCTACACCACCTTGTACTGTCTTGACACTCTTACCCCTTGCCTCAGCTATGACTCTGAATCTCAAACCACTGTGATCCTTGGTCACACTGCTGCCAATCTGATATTTGCAACACAAAATCTGCGCATGTCATTCCTTCACCAAAATTCTTTAAAGGCTCCCATCATGCAGCAGATTAAAAACACTGAACCTCTTTTTTTCAGTACACAAAGCCTTTACGCTCTCGGCCATTACCAACCTTGACAGCACCCTCTCCCACCCTTCTTCACCCTATTCGTTCTTGTTACTGAGCTGGTAACTGAGCATGGTACTGAGTCTACTGTTCATTCAGGCTGCAATACCCTCCGCCTGGAGCCCTCAGTGCTGTCCATCACACTCTTCGAGCACTGCACCCATGAGCGTCTGGGCCTCCTGCAGAGGGCCTGTGCCTGCCCCCTGCCCAGCATGCCCTTCCGAACCCCCACTACAGCAACAAGGGTGGTCTAGACTTGGTGGTGTCTCCTGTAGGCACCTAGAGGACAGGATCTCTGCCTCTATTTCTACAGCCCCAGAGTCTGCCACGGTGCTAGCAACACAGAAAAAACCTAAATAAATTGTTGACAAATAAATGAATAAAGTCTTTAAAAGATGACAAAAGAAACAAGGGTTACAGAGATGAGGGAAGAGGAAGCGCTTCATTGTTGTTTCTTCTGCTTCTTGGAACACGGTCGGCTTTATACTCCGGGTATCTCCCAGAGTTCTCTGCCCTCAAGCCCTCCACCTCCCCACCCTATGCGGCTCCGGTATGTGCCACCCACCCCCAGACTGCTTCTGTGTGCTGCAGGCCTCGAAGGGGCTCTTCCCTTATCTCGCGGGATCTAAGACCTCTGGTGTCCAACTCAGATGTCTTCTCCACATTCAAAAAGACTTCATCAAAATTCCCTCCCAATGAGCTGAACTCTCATCTCTCCGGTTACTGACTGTATAACTTTAGGCAGATTATTTCAACTTGCTACGCCTCTTGTTTTCTCACCAGCAAAATGAGAATAATGACCGTATCTACCTGGTAGCATAGCTGTGAGGATTAAATAAGTTAATTCACTAAAGTTCTAATAATCCCTGGTACACAGGAAGTGCTCCATAAATAGTCTCTATTATTTTATTTAATGACCATAGTGTTTCCCAAAGTAAAATCTGCAGGGCTGGCGGGGGGCGGGGGGGCCCTCGGTGGTATAGAGCTTGCCTTCCATGTGCAAGGCCCTGGGTTTAGTCCCCAATACTGCAAAAGCTAAAGTCTGGTGTACAGGCATACGACAGCCATCACTTTAATAAATGTTCACTAGTCAAGTAAGTTTTAGAAGTACGAGGTTAAATAATAAAACCTGTCGGGCTGGGGATTGAGCTCAGTGGTTCTGCCGCCTGCCTTGCAAGAGCAAGGTCCCGAGTTCGATCCCCAGTACTCAAAAAAGCCCAGCAAAACAAATGATAAAACCTGTCTTTACTAGAAGATTTCTTAGAACCTTTAATGTGATAATATCTGAATTTCCACGGTAGTAATGGTGATGATAGCCTTTAATAGCAAAATTACTTAGCACCATGGCACTCCACCCCTGGACTATTTAACAGGACTGCTACCACCAGAAATACACTTTAGAAACTATCGTCTAAAGAATTATACGAAGTGATGTGCCACAGAGTTTAATGTGGACTACAACAGTTACAAAATTTTTTCATGAGGGAAAATTCTTTTTCAGTAAGTCCATAAATTTTGCAAAATGATAAGAACATGACAAAATTCCACAATAAAAATGTTTTAAAAACATTAAAAAATGGAGATAAATCAATATTAAAAAAAGTATTTCCAAGGTTTGGTATATAATGAAGAACAAAAGACAATTTCTCAAACATCAAATATTATCTAATATGAAAGCCAGAAGGCCCATTATTAAACAATAGAAATAACAGGTTCCATTTAAGGCAACTATCAATCAGAGTTTAATTCTCCCTGAGCACAACCTCCTACTTGGCAAAATTAAAGAAAAGTGTCTGGGTAAAAGAGACAGAAAAAAGACAACACCAGCTGTGCCTCTTCTCAATAATAAAATGGTCCCAGATCTTAACACTGTACAACAAAGACCCCAATTCTTCAATTCAAGAAAATTAATCAAAAAGTCACCATACACGGCTGTGTATTAACAATCGTCAATAAATACCAATAATATGCAGACACTGGAAAAGAGCCCAAAACAGATCCCACTGAAAAAAACAAAGGTCCAGCTCTTACCAACAGGGCCTCCACCCATGGATGGAGGGCAGAAAAGAACTCAGGGCATAAATATGAAAATACATGAGAAGCAATGAGAAAACACACGCATCTAATAGAGGGCTCCAAAATTCATCTCCATTTCTATGGATTTAAAATATATAAAAAATTTATGTAAGAGAGCGATCTACAGAGATTCATTAATGTGTTCTCAGCAGAAAAGGAACAAAAGATGAGTGACCACAGGTCCAAGAGCAGGCCCGTAACTGGAGAAAAGAGAATGCAGGACTGCTCTTTTCTAACCCAGCTCTTACATCTTTTCTTAAAAAAAAAATGCAGGGAGACAAAGTGTTTGTAGCTAGCACCACAGGAAAGCAGGAAAGGGGCGGAAAGCCACAGAAAGACACCTGCCGCGCGCAGACCCAGGGCGTTACCTCAGTGACTTTCCGCTCCACTTCTGTGCCGTCCACGTAGTACACGTCTGTTATGACACGGGTGACAAGTGTGCGGACCTCACGGATTGTTCTCGTGTGGCGATGCAAGACGTGGCCCTGTGGAGGCTGAGGCATATCAAACTCCTCCTCTCCCTGTGACAGATACAGGACACAAGGTCTCACTGCAAACTGAAGAATCACAAGTCGACTTCTTCCCGGGCACTGTTCAGCATGATGAACTTTCCTTCCTTTCTACTTCCCGGCTTTCTACTTGCCCATGGCTAGGGCTGAGAATGGGCTGCCTACATAGCCAGAGGTTGGGCAGAACTTGTCAGCAGAAGCAGAGTTGACAGGACCACAAAAGCAAGATCCCAGCACTTCGCTTACACCAAGTGAAGTTTAGGTGACTCTGGAAAGCTGCAGCACATTACTTTTATATAGTGATCCTAATGTTGATGATCACTTGTCAACTGATAAGTTTTCCTTTCAGCAGTTCCTTAGATAAAAAAGCAGGCATTCTTTGTCCTTTACATAAAACTAGAATGACATTTCCTGTATCAGTAAGCAAAAACCACAGTTTACACAAGGACCAAAGTACAGGTGTTTTTCCTGGCATGAAATATTAAATATTTAATCTATTCCAAAGAATATGAAGATTACAAAGATTATGGCTGAAGAATTAAACTAGTCTCCAGAAACAGAAAACATTAGATTTAGGATTTTCTATCTAGTTCTACCATAAAGAGTAATCAGGGGGCCAGGGATTTAGCTCAGTGGTTTCGCCGCCTGCTGCGCAAGCGCAAGGACCCCAGTTCGATCCCCGGTACCAAAAAAAAAAAAGAAAAAACGTAATCAGGCCAGGCGGGGTGGTGCACACCTGTAATCACAGCACTGAGGAGGTTGAGGCAAGAGAATTGCTGCAAGTTCGAGGCCAACCTGGGCTACATAGTGAGTTTAAGACCAGTCTGAGCTACACAGGAAGTCCCTGTCTCAAAAAAACAAACAACAACAACAACAAAAAACAGTAATCAAGTTAAATAAGACATACATTTTTAGGAAAACTTTATAATATTACTTAGGGAAAAATGAACCTCTTTCGTTCAGAAACATTACACAAATATTTAGTGACAAAGTGATGGGTGTCGGGCACTGTATTAGACATTGCTAGAAAATTAAGACGGGTGCAGTTTATTCAATGTTTCTATCAATATTCAAATCCACTCTCTCTGATTTATATAAACACAACTAATAAGACCATTATTCAAAAAACCAAACTAAAACAGCACTCGAATACTCTTTCACGTTCATAGTGTTCCATCTACAGTCAGACCCCTAAGTTCATGCTTTAATCAGATCTGGGTAATTTTTAAAAGATGAATTTTGAGCAGATAATACCTTAAACCCCTATTATTACTTCTAATTACTAGTCTCTCTGAATCCTCCATCCTCGAGCAGGACCTGCCTGCCTACAGCGGGCACCACGTGCAGGCGACCCAGTCTGCAGCACACCGCCCCACCGTCCCACCCCAGCAGCTCTCAAGCTGTCTGAAGACATGCACGCTTCTGTCTCCCACCGTATTCCCCTATGGCAGGCTGATGTGACTTCCAACATCCAGTATCAACACAACCGAATTTGTAAGAACTATACATACCACTGTAATTCTCTGTTTCTCTTGACAATGTGGTAGTAATTTACCTAAAACTTTCAAATTACCCAAATAAACCCCACTCCAATTCCACTTGTGGTGAAATATCTGCTAAAATGGAGATATATAAATTATGTGAATAGATAATAAATAAAATTTAAAAATATGCATTCTTACTCAACCAATCCCTTAAAATACTTCTAACCAGGCACAGTAGTGCATGCCTGCAATCCCAGCTGCTCAAGAAGCCAGCCAAGTAGGAAGATTACAAGTTTGAGGGAGGCCAGCCTAGGCAACTTAGTGAATCCTTATCTCAAAATAAAATTTAAAGAAATATGTGCTGGAGAAGTGCTTGGCACTCCACGGTTCAATCCATCCGACTCTGGCCAGCAAGTGTTCAGAGAATAGGCCTGCCACCCTCCAGTGACCTTCAGTCACAGGCGCCACCCACCAGAGCCATGGGGCCCGGCCTGCTTGTGCACAGCCTACTTCTGCCTGCATCACGGGGGCTAAGCAGTCTCTGCTTCACACACCCTGGAAATGCAGCCAAGAAGCCACTCTGTAATTCCCATTACCACAGCCGTACAAGGGCCCACTCCAAGAGGGACGCTTCCTGACAAGAGGACAGGAAAAAAGGGGAAGAAGACAGAAAACGATATCCATGCTGACTCTCTTCAGTCTTCTGAAAAGAAGTCTCTGCAAGGTTACATAACTCTACGATCCTGTCACTATCAGTGGAAGAAAACATGAAGATAAAAATCACACTCTCCCTCGCTAGCAAACATGATTCCACACACTCCACCCATGAAATGAAAATTGAAGGAACATCCAAGTGGGAAGCCTATGCTTTTCTAAGGCCCTGGCCTGAGCCCCATCATTGCACAAGGACAAAAGAAAGCACTGAAGTCGGAGAACCTCCACACAGCCATTCTCACTTCCCAGCCACTCTTCAAAAGACAGCGGCGCACCAATTCCTACACACCATCTGTAATTTTTTTAACTGCGGTAAAATCTGTATGACATAAACTGACTCCTTTTAAATGTACAGCTCTGTGGCGTTACGGTGATAGCGGTATCAACTGTAACAACCATCAGCAGGGAGCAGCCCCAGCAAAGTTATTTTGAGCCTTAACCAGGTGCTGGGGCCTGTGCCGAGCACTCTGCACACCTCGCCCCGTGCTCTCTCCAACACCCTGGCGAAGCAGTGCAGCGCCAAAGCCTCGGGCTCTACTGCTCCTCTCAGCCTGATGATGAGCAGAGACTCAGACCTCATTTTACAGCAAGAGAAGAGAGGAGGTAAAAGCAAAGAAAATCAGGCGTCTCCCACTTGGATGCTGTATGTGATACCAAGTTTAACTCTTTTTTACCAAAGTAGAGAAGCCAAAGTGATGGGTGGCAAAATACAAATACTTTAAAGATGAAAATAAACAGAAGCGAAATGGGGTCTAAGCCTAAAGAATCCCAAATTGGCACCCTCAGCTCTCTGGGACTTTTTGCTATGAAAGGCATACACAGACACACCTCTGCAGTTCCTGGAGAGGCCGAGGTAACAGCAAAACATAAATGGGCCAGGATTTAAAAACAGAAGAGTGAGAGACCACAGCGAAAAGAATAGCGATGCTGAAGTCAGACACGTTGAGCTCAAAATCCAGTTCGGCCACATACTGACGGCAAAATCTTGTGCAAGTTCTTTAACCTCTTTTCAGCTTGGAATAATAACACCAACCTCACAGGTTGGACCATCTTAAGCACACTGATGATGTATCACAGGTGTTCAACAGGTAGGAAATGTGTTCTACAAATTTAACTTGGATAATCAGAACAAGAGGCACATCATTAGGGAAAACTTCCCGGGCAGACAGTGAGTGAGTGGAGATGATCTACCAGAACAATCAAAACAGGCGATTTTCTCTGCCATGGATCCCAATGCCAGCTGATGCCATATGTGAACTTCCACTTATTTATTAGCACATCCCTGTCCTTACTGTCCTTCCCTCTAACCTACCTGCATTTTACTACCCCAATACCCACACTTCCTCACTCTGTCCCCGGGGCTGCTCTTCCTCTGGCCTCACTGTCTGTCTCAGCTGCTCTTCTGCAGTCCCCAGTGACCCTGGCCTGTCCTCTTCTTTGTCCTTTGCTTTCTGCTGCCTAGGATCCCAGGAGCAATGGTCAAATAGAGGGGGAGAGGTGATTGTAGCTCCCACAAGGGAGACAAGAAATGGTGGCAGAAGGAAAAGACTCAAGTGTGGAAGACTACACAAGTTAGGCTTTCTTTCCTGGTGAAGCCCCATTTGACTCTACCACTACTCCATTTTCCCTAAAAGACTATCGACTGTGTTGCTGTCATTTTCACTACCCTATCTCTAGCCTGGATAAAGTGCTTTTATCTTCTATCCTCTATTCTACACAAAACTCTCAAGAGTTGGCACTCAGTAGAAGTGTTACAACTTAGTTTTGCAGTCGCTCAGTGTGTTCTCACCTGGCTGTGGAGTGACTCTGTGTCATCCCCAGGGGCACCAACAGGCTTCTCATCACTGGCCCTTTCAGTCTGCACCATGGCATCTTGCTTCCCCGAGCTCTGGTCTACTGTGCTGGTGCCCTGCTCACATACATTCTTGACAGTCTGGGTTGCTGCAGAAATAGTTTCTGGGACCCAGAGGGAATGCTCCAGGGTCTGGATTCCAATGTTGTTTTGGGTGGGCCTTTCAATCGTGGCCTTACTGGGCTCTTCCTGATGGGCATCCCGTTCTTCTTGCTGGCCTTCCTGCGTGTCTGTCTCTGTCACTTCTCCTCGTGGGCTGGACAGGCCCTGTGAGACTGTCTGCTGGGAGGCAGGAGACTCGGGGTCCTCGAGAAGACTAACTGTCTTCACGGGTTGTTCACTCTGCCTGATCCTGTGGTCACCCTCTAATTTTGCTTTCTTCTCTTCTTCTTGAGTACTTGGATAATGAAGCAAGTTCCCTCTGAAAGTAAAACACGTGTTATATTTTCAATATGGTTTATCCCCTCTGGAGCTCATGGTCAAATTTACTGTGCACTGTGCTGAGGCAGTACAGGTGGAGCCTTTGGAAGGTCAACAGGATTCGATAAGCTCATGAGGGCAGAAGCCAGGAGTGAATGCTGGTGCCACTAGGGGAGACCAGAGCTGATGCACATCCCGCTCTTTCTGCCCTTGGACTCTGCAGGAAGCGGCTGCCGCCACAGGTGCACACATGGCTTCAGAACAGAACTGTGAGCCAGAATAAAGCTCTCTTCTTCATAATTTACCTGGTTTGTGGTCCTGTGTTACTAGCAACAGGAAATGGATCAAGTGGACTTAAAGACCTTGTCAAAAGGGAAGGAGGGTACGCAAGCGCAAGGACTCGAGTTCGATCCCTGGTACCAAAATAAAAGGGAAGGAGGTGAATAAATAATGGCAAAGGGAAACCATATTTTGACACTTTTAATAACATAAAGAGGGCCAGGGATTTAGCTCAGTGGTTCCAGCGCTTGCCTTGAAAGGGCAAGGTCCCAAGTTCGATCCCCAGTACCCAAAAAATAAAAATAAAAATAAAATAACATAAAGAGCTACTCAAGGTGACTAAGGCTATCACTTTTGAGGCCTCTCAAAACTTCACTCCTGTGAAAAAATAATGGCACCAGGACCACTCCACCATGATGGTAAAATAGTCACGAAACTTCTCTCCAGTGTTAGCGATGAACCCTGACACGGGAAATGAAGAACTGTAAGATGAAAGCCATCACTAAAGTCACAAGCAATGAAAGGCACCTTAGAGATCTACTTTGAAAAGGATCAACTAGGTCGTGAGGTCTCATTTGGCTTCTTGAATGGTTCTAACATTTCTTAACTTACTTCTAGCAGCATAGGTACTGTCTGTCCCCAACTAACAAATCACTTTAGAAAAAGAAATCTAATCTTTAAAGGAGAAAGATACAGGTGGGATTCTGGTTTTGCTAACTGCACTGCAGGAGTGTATCCACATTTCAAAGTGACTTGGTACCTTAAAGACAGTACTCAAAACAGCCCATTTCTGCTAATCAGTTCCACTGGGGAGCAGTAATTTATTTATCCCACAAGTATTTGATGAATGTCTGCTATAAAACAAATCTAAGGTGCCTAGGGTTTCAATATCTTTAATAATTCTCTAGACTGGGCCAGGGATTTAGGCGCCACGCCTGCCTTGCAAGTGCAAGGTCCTGAGTTTGATCTTCGGTACCCAAAAAATAAAAAATAAAAAAATCTCTAGTGTAAGAAGGCAGGCTTCCTAAGTTACACTGTCCAAGTCAGCAGCCATTGACTGGGTAGGGACTGCTGACCGTGTGATACATGGGCAGTGCATCCTGAGACGTGCTGTAAGCTTAAATGCATAGTACACTTCAAAGACTTAGTATAAAAAATGTAAAGTATCTCATTAATAACTTTCTATGCTAATTATATGTTGCTATAACAATATTTCAAACATACTGATTAAAATATTCAAAAAAAATTTTTTTGAAGACCTAGGCTAGCTCCAAATAAGAAGTTTTACACAGAGAGGGCCAGGTATTTAGCTTAGTGGTGCTGCCACCTGCCTCACAACCACAAGGTCCTGAGTTCGATCCCCAGTACCAAAAAAAAAAAAGAAGTTACACACAGAAATTCTTCATACTCATCTTTATACTTAAAACACCCAACATGGAGCTTAATACGAAAACAAGTGCTCAATAAAACCAAAAACCTACTGAAATTAAATAAAACACACACTACATGTAAATAGCTAGAATACAGATAAAAGAAACCCATTCTGAACTGAGCATGCTAAGAGCACATATCGAGAATACCTCTCAGTTTGTTTCTCTGGGTTTTTTTTTTTGGTACTGGGGATCAAACTCAGGACCTTGTGCTTGCGAAGCAGGCAGTGAACTACTGAGCTAAATCCCCGGCCCCTACCTTTCAGATTTGAGTGTCACAGTTTACAAGACACAAAATGAGATACACCCTGAAAATGAGGGGGCACAGAAACAAGCTTCCACATATGGTCAGAGAATGGGAGGCTGGGAGGAGCCCTTGTTCTCAGCAATGCATCCTGCCAAGGCAGAGGACAGAAAGCATAAAGAGCTCTGTGAGGCTATCGCCCTGCTCTGGATCTTGATGAAGGAGAGAAAGGGAGACGTTTTGGAGATCTTGATATTGTTTGGCTCAGTTCACCAGAAGAGGAGATTGAAGAGGTATTGGAATAAAGTTCTAGCTGAACCTCAGGAACCTCAGCTGTATGAGGACATATGATCCAATAAAAAAAGGCAAGAACATAATCACAAGATGAACGAGAAACACCTGCCTGGCACAAAATTTATAAATGATCATACATAGAACTCACTGAGCAGAAGCACAGTTGACATTAGCTATATATGACAAAACAATTAAGGAGATTAAATTCACCTTCTATAAAAAACCTGAATATTCATGTTTGAATCTTTAGAACACCTAACATATCAACGGCTACGCAATAATGAAGGTGAATTAAAGCAAAAAGGGACAAGATTGTTCCATGAGTTGGAGACCTAGAACTCAACAGTGATCTCGTCCTGCCTCAGCCTCCCAACTGTTGGAATTACAGACACAAGACACTACTCCAGCTGCGTCATGATTTCAAGAATTCAACTACCATTGTATTACACCTTTAAACAAATTTACACATTTTTACCTCATGCCAGACTGAACATTTGCTCCCACCCAAAACTAGTAACTTAAATCTTAATCCCTAAGGTGATGATATGAAGAGGTAGGGCCTTTGGGAGATGATCAGCATCCTAAAAAGGACCTCAGAGGTCTCCCATGCAGGAAGCAGGCCCTCACTACATCATCAAATCTGCTAACACTTTAATCTAAGACTTCCTAGACTCTACAACTGGAAGAAATAGATTTGTTGCTCATATGCTTCCTAGCCTATGGTAGCTCATAAGACAGCAGCACTATGTACTAGATGCTGGTATCTAGCATTTTATGAGTCAATGGAGCCCAAAAGATATGATGAAAATAATGCTCACCTGACGGAGGCAGAGGGGAGATCCTCACCTTGAGCCATCTCTTCTTGTCGGACTTCACAGATACAGCTAAACACAGACACAGTCTTCTGGGGACTAAGGTAAGACATGAAAGCAATATGCTGTGTGAATGTAGAAAGGTACAGTACTTCTGCACATTTGTCTCTCAGGTACAAAGAGAACCCCCTTAGGGGCCAGGGATTTAGTTCAGTGGTTCTGGCACCTCTCTTGCAAGCACAAGGTCCCAAGTTCGATCCCTGACACACACAAAACAAACAAACAAACAAAGAGAACCCTCTTTCTTCATCCCAAATTACAAACTACCTTACATCAAAATGCAAATTCTTGGCCACTGTGTTCCCTCTTGCATGGCAGCCCACCCTCATGATGTAGGGTACACTTCTTTTCCTACTTTTACTTGGTCCAAACTCACTCTGCAGAGCCTATTTCTTCAATAAAATTTTGCTGCCATTCGGGCTTGTCTTGACCAATTCTTTTCCCAGGACAGAAAAAACCTAGAAACCACCTCCAGAAGGAGACTCCAGCACCCAAAAACCCAGTAACATATTTGGTTTAGCCAGCCAGGAAAAGTGGGCTCATAAGTTAGCCACTCTTGTGAACAAGTGATCCCAGACCTGTGCAAACAGGCAGGATATCAGTGACATGCCCCTTCAAAACCCTGAGGAACTGTGGTTCACTGATGGATGTGTGCAGTTGTCAGTTTGCAACACATCACTGAAACAAAACCCCTTCCCCTTCCAGGGACCTCTGCTCAAAAAGCAGAGCTCATAGCTCTTACTTGGGCATAGATATCTGTATGAGGAAAAGGCAAGAAGCTATGTAACTATATAGACTCCAAATATGCCTTTCTGGTGCTACATGCGCATGTAGCAATCTGGAAAGAAGAAGCTTGGTAACAACCAATCATCTGTAAAACACGAGCATGAAATTCTACAACTCTTAGAGGTAGTTTATCTTTCCAAGCAGATTGCTGTCATTCGTTGCAAGGGATCCTAAAAACATATGTTTGAAGTCTCCTTGGGAAATCAAAAGGCTGATAGGGAAGCAAGAAGGGCAGCCCTACAGCTCCCCAAGACTTTAGGGCCTTACTCCTAGTTCCTGAGGAACCATTCTGGTCCTTCCTCAAAAGACGTAACGACAAGCTTTAAAAATTCTACATGGGAGGGCTGAGGATTTAGCTCAGTGGTTCTGCCGCCTGCCTTACATGTGCAAGGTCCCAAGTTCAATCCCTGGTACCAAAAAAAAAAATCCTACATGGGAAATGGTCACTAAAATTTTCACAGGACTAAGAAGAAAGCTATTCCTGAGAACCACTGGAAGACCTGAGACTCCTCCTTCAGAAAGCAAGACTGCAGTATTGCTCCGGGAACAGATAAATAGTCACTAATGACCCTAATCCACCACAGTTTAAATGGACACCTGTATTGAGGCTTCTGTTTTTAATCAGATCCATTATGTGAATAATCTTGCTAAGGATATGGCTCTCAGGTTCTCAATAATTTATCTAACCACCCTCTTTGCCATACCCTGTCCTCCACAAGAAACATGGAAATCTGACCTGCTCCTCATATTTGGGTTCCTCATGCTCAACCTAACAGTACAGTTACTTTTTTTCTCCTATTGAACAGACAGCTTAACACTAACTCTTTGACAGGTTCTTTTCATCAACCCAACCAGTGAACCACAATGCCCCAAGGTAGCTAGAGAGCACAAAATCCCCAGTGGGTAAAGTCTACAGCCCTTTCCAGCTGGAAGAAGCTACAAAAGACAGGGACCTCTGCTCCCTCAGCACTCCACAAAGAATTATGGGGATTTGTGTCTCTCAGGAGGAAATGTGACAGATTAGGGTGTGGCTGGAGAAGTAGGTGTCACACACGCACAGAACAGTCCTGTCCCCCCCCCCCCGCGGCATATAGACATTTTTTTTCTGTTTTTTGGTACCAGGGATCAAACTGGGGTCATTGCACTTGTGAGGCAGGCAGCGGAACCACTGAGCCACTGAACTAAATCCCCAGCTCCCTGGAGTTCTCATGAGAACTTGAACAGATTTTCGATAGGACAGCCTAGATCTGCCATCAGCCCGAGGTGTGAACAGCCCACATTGAGTATTTTGACACTGTGTTCCCTCTTGCATGTGTACGCTGTAGGGTATAACGTCTTTTCCTACTTTTACTTAGCCCAAACTCACTCTGCAGTTTAATAAAACTTTGCTACCATTACATTAAAAAATGCAAATTCTTTACATGCGTTTCAAATTAACATAACACAAACTTACAAGGAAGACTCACTGGGATAAGGTAGAAAAGTATACTATAAGGATACGATCAGAAAATCAGAATGTAGAATACAAGAAGGCAGATAACGAGTTCCCTGAATAGGTAATGGGGGTATGGTACAGGACTGTGTGACTTTAACAAGTCTTAGGTAGACACAGCAATCAAATGCAATGGGTAGACTTATCTGGATCTTGATTCAGGCACTGTAAAAAATGTTGGAGGCAGAGAAATTTGAACACTGAAGATTTGATTAATAGTAATGTGGTTAAATTTTAAAATTCGAATCCTTGGGTCAGGGATTTAGCTCAGTGGCTCTGAGCCTGCCTCAAGCACAAGGTCCTGAATTCAATTTCCAATACCAGAAGAGAAAAAAAAAGAATCCTTATCTTTTAGAGACACCCTGAAGTATTTACATAAATAAAATATCTTCAAAATAATTAAGGGGAAGGGCTGGTTCGAAGTATTTATAAATGAACCCAGACCAGCCATCAGTTGATAATTTCTGAAAAACGGCAACCCAATATGCTACTCCCAACTTCTATATACACTTGAAACCTCCCACAGTAAAATGAGAAAAGGGGTTACACCAAGTAATCTGAACTGAGTCCATTTACACACAATACTTAAAAGCATCACCTAAAACAGGTGTGGAACACACTTGTAATCCCAGTGCTCTGGGAGGGTGAGGGAGGAGGAGTTCAAGTTTAGGCCTAAGTTGGGCAATTTGGTAAAACCCTCTCAAAAGGAAGAAATAAAAAAGTGCTTAGGATGTAGCTCAATGTGAAAGCCCTGCGTTTGATCCCCAGTAGACACACACACACACACACACACACACACACACACACACACATACACACACAAGCTTCATCTAAATCCAAACGAAAAATGATCTTTTATAATATTCTAACACCTTTAAATGATTTCTTACAATGAATCCAACAATAAAAATGAACGTCAAAAATTTTAAATATAGATTCTTATACATAAAATTCGCTTCACAATACCATCAATGTTTTTAATATGCTAGGCAAGCACTCTACTACTAAGGTATATCTCCAACTTTAAATTGTTTTGCTTTGTTTTCTTTTTGAAATGCAATCTTACTGTGTTGCCCAGGTTGGCCCTGAACTTGCAATCCTCCTGCCTCAGTCTCCTAAATACCTGGGATTATAGGAATGTACCACCAAGCCCAGCACTGATGAATTTTATTCATTCCATGATCCACCATCCTAACCTTCTGCTCAAGTTTCTTCTTATTTTCTCCTCCCACAGTCTGCCCTCAGGGTTCAGGAAGTTTCAGCAGCATATTCTGTTCCCTCTTAATGTGCACACATACAGACTTAATTAACAAGTGCCTGGCACATAGCTCTGCTAACGCCACACACATCAGAAGCAAACTCCACCTTGGTAACTTGTTGGGTCCATACATCACCGAGGGCCTCTGGGCACGCAGCATGGCTTAGTGGCAGAGCACTTACCTCATGTGCACAAAACCCTGGGTTTATTGGAGTGGGGGATCCTTGCTGAAAAAAGAACCTAAGGTAGTTATTTTTCAAATTAAAAATGCAAGAGCCTTGGGCCAGGGATTTAGCTCAGTGGTTCTGCTGCCTGCCTTGAAAGCACAAGGTCCCGAGTTTGATGCCCGGTACCAAAAAGAAAAAAAAAATGCAAGAGCCCAGAAACTAATCTAGGGCATGGCTAAGAACACATCAAAGGCTTGAGAAGAGTCAGAAACTTACAAATGAGGTCAAATTTAGTCCACAGACATGTTTCACTTGAAATTGAAATTTTTATTTTTAAAAATCCGAATTTCTTTTTTTGTTGTTGTTTTGTTTTGTTTCTTTTGGTGCTGGGGATTGGACCCAGGGGCTTCATACTGAGCTACATTCCCACCCCTTTTTTATTTTTTATTTTGAGACAGGGTCTCACTAAGTTGCCCCGGCTACACTCAAAGTGCAATCCACCTGCCTCAGCTTCTCAAATGCTGGGATTACAAGGATATGCCACCACACCAGGCTTAAAAATCCAGATTTGTTTAAACATTTAAAGATTCGGCTGCAGTAAATTTCCACTCCTGAATTAAAACCAGTGGCCGGATCTCGACAGGGTACACCCTGTGAAGTGGGGCACATACCCTGTCAGCTGTCCTCGCAGCACTCCAGCCGCTGGTATTCATAGTACCTGCCTGGCATGTGATGTAAGAGCCCTTGCCTGGAATGCACCAACTGTTGCAAGTGCATCCATGCTGGCCAGCTCAGGCCAAAAACAAATGAGCCACCAGATGGCAAAGTTCCACCACCAAAAGCTCAGTCAGCAGGGGTAAGGCTTTCAAAGCATTACAGCATTCGTGACAAAGCAAAAGTATAAACTCAGCTTGGTCTTCAGAAAGAGCTGGCAGCTGTGGGTGAGTGTGGGACGTGGAAGGAGCAGGGTCCACAGCCACCTCTGGCTATGTCCTGTTTCCTCCCCACAGCGGCCTCAGACTCAGCAGGAGGGAAAGAGCACTCAGGAGTTTTGTGAGCACTCACTGAGTTTTAAAGGCCAAAGCTTTACTGATTAATGCACTGCTAAACCCTGTGTGCTGGAATTTTCGTTAAGTTTTTCTTCTGATGGTAAAGCATCTTCCCCTCATTACCAGTGGCTCTGGATTAAACTCCTTGAAACAGACACCAGCTCTGGTTACCTGGCAACAGCCTCGGCAACAGCAGTAGAACCATTTCTCTCCCCGGTTGCAGGCTCTGAATGAAAACAAAAGCAAGGAAAGGGAGACAGTTTGGGTAGCGTCACGCCTAAAACCTTCACGCTTCTCTGCATTTTCAACAAGTAACAAAAAGAAGCAGAGATAGTAAAACTAATCAATGAACATAAACAGATTTTGTATAGTTTAACAGTACTAGTTTTTTTCATTTCCACCAATTAATTTTCTTTCAAGTTTTCTATAAGAAACAAGTCAATTTGGCCTGAAATACACTAAATTATTAAACAGTAACTTTTTAAATTAAAATTAAGCCTCTCCACATAAAAGATATTTTTTAACTACATAAGAAAATACAAAATAAAGTTTAAATTAAAATTTCTAAAGAAATTTTTAAAATTTTTGATAAAATGAGTAAGATTTTAGGAACACCTAGAAACAGAAGGTCCCTAAGTTTTTCCCAAAGTGCTTTAGGACACTTATCTGAAAAATAAGACATATTTCCAAGAAAGAACAACCAGCAAAGTAAGGATGACACTGAAAAGACTACTATATTTTCATAGCAATGCCAAATTAAAATTTGTTCACCATTTATTCCAATCTTAGAAAAAATAACTTAAACAGTTTTAAACATTTAAAACCCTTGTGACTCGCCACAAGGTTAAACAGCCCATCCAGGAGGCAGGTGAAGGTCAGGGTTAGAGCACCAGTTCTGAAGAGAAACCCAGCTCATACCTGGCCCCACACTCAGGAGTCCAACCTGAGTGTAAACTATGTTGTCACTTTGAGTCTCAGTCTCCTCACCTGAAAGAGATAAAACAGAGCCAACCTCCTATTTGTGTGACTACAGAGCTCCTAGTATTGGACAAGGTGCTACTACTTACTGACGGGACAACCCTAACATTCAGCTCCATCTAGCCTTCCCAATTATAATTTCAGATCTAAAGAATTCAAGATTTAAAGGCACCACACATTCTCTCAAGAATCCATTTTATTCCCAAGAAGATAAGGCTAGAACCATGAAATACTTCAATTCCTAATCAAAGAGCACTGAGAAGCAAAATGAAATTCTAGTTTTGGAACCAGCCTGCCCGGATTTGAATCCAGGCTACTCTAGCTGTGTGACCCTAGGGAAGATAGTTAACCTTCCTGTGCCTCCGTTTCCTCTTCTGTAAAATAAGGATGATAAGATCTATTTCACAGGTTTGTTATGAGACTTAATAGCTATACACATAAAGTGCCTGGCATATAGTAAGAGTTCAAAATTTATTGGCTAAAATCATTTTCTTTGGTCTCAGAAATAGGATTCATCAACTCCTTCTCCTATTCCCTCACCTTTAACCTATCCCTCTCTTGGATCCTTTCTTTCAGTCTGTAAACTTCCTCAGGCCTCTCACAACTAAAAACAAATTATCCTTTAACCTTGTATTTCCCTCTAACTTGTCATATTTTCTCTTCCTTTCTCACATAAATTCTTTTTTTTTTTCGGTACTGGAGATCGAACTCAGGACCTCACACTTGTGAGGCAGGTGCCAGAACCACTGAGCTAAATCCCTGGCCCCTCTCACATAAATTCTTGAAAGTCTGTTTGCTGCCTCTTCTACTCCTTCTGCCCATTTCTCAATTATCTTTGGTACAGCTTCCACCCTAACCACTACATTGAAATGGTTCTTGCTAAAGTTGCCAAATGGATTCACCCGCCAAATCCAAGGTCCATTTTCAGACATATCTCACTAGACCGGGGCTCCTACATCTGACAGTGTCATCTCCTTTTATCTCTCCATTCCCTAGGCTTCCTACTACCCCAGCTTCTCCTCACTGAATGTTCCTTTCCAACCTCTTTTACAAGACTCCTTCCTCTTCAAACTTCCTTAAACAGCATTTACACACCACCTAGTAGAGAACTTACAAGTTTTACAATTAGATATGACTCAAATTCCAGCTCCACATCTGCCCAATCACTGTGACCTTAGGCATGTAACTTAAAAACCATTCAGCATGTTTTCTATCAATAAAACGGAGAGCCGGAGATTTAGCTCAGTGGTTCCAGCGCCTGCCTCGCAAGTGCAAGGACTCGAGTTCGATCCCCAGTACCAAAAGTAAATAAATAAATAAATGAATAACTGGAAATCTGAGTGCCTACTTTAGAGCATTTTTATGACAATAAGATCGGACAGTATTTGTAAGAAGTTGCCCTATATTTCCCTTCCCTCTTATTTCCACATTCAGCCAGCCCCATGGTTCTGACTGCTTCATTTACCTCAAATTCACTCCCTCATCTCCAAGCCCATTATCAAACCCTCTTCATGGTTAAAGACGGAGTAGAACTTGGCTAGACAGAAGAACAGGAAGTGGACTATACAAAGAATATAATCACCATGCACAAAAGCACCAAATTTTAACACAAAGTTTCCTTCCTTTTAAAGAAGCAAACCAGGGGCCCGGGATTTAGCTCAGTGTCGCCACACCTGTTTAGCAAGTGCAAAGTCCTGAGTTCGATCCCTGGTGCCAAAAAAATAAAAAATAAAAAATAAAAAAGGAAGCAAGGAAGATCCTGTAATTCCCCTACCTCAAGCCCTTCAGCTTCTCAGCACAATGTAAAAGGCTTTGGTGCCTACTATCACCTCCGTGTGCCTTCTCTGTATTCTAGCAGTATCCACTGAACAACTTGCAATTCACATGGAAAAGTCAACATAAATCTACGCTGAAAATCACCCTAAATTTTCTACTCTCTTCTGAACTACTTCTGTATATGAAAACCAATTACTTAATAGAGACACAGGTTTAACTTGGAGACACAAGTGAAAACAAGAATATAAAATTGAGTGTCTTCAGTAATATGACAGGGACTAACCAAAAACCAATGAATGAAACCTACATACATTTTTATAGTTATAAAAGTAACAATCATTAAAAGATAACTGATACTGGCCGGGGATTTAGCATAGTGGTTCCGGCGCCTGCTGCGCAAGCACAAGGACCCGAGTTCGATCCCCGGAACCAAAAAAAAAAAAAAAAAAACTCTCAGGAAAAGATAACTGATACTTTCCAGATGACCTGGAGCTACTAATCACCCAAGATTAATATAAAATAAAACTTACTTTCCAGGCTAAATTGCAAAGACTCTTCACTGGCCTCTGTTTCAGGGCTGACCAATTTCATTCTTAGACACAGTTTCTCATCCACTTCTGGGGCAGCCCCAGAATCCCCTTTTTCACTCCCATGTATGGCATCGTTGGTTTCTACCATGCTTTCAGACATGACAACACTGGTTGCTATGGTGCTTTCTGGATAGTTGCTAATGCCTAAAAGAGGCAGGGAGGAAGAAAGAAAAAACACTGAAATACAAACCGTAAAAATAGCAACTCTAGGTCATCAATTTGCCTGTTTTGACTCCACCACTCTGCTGGATTGAAGGGGGTCCTAGGATAGATCCTGTCACAAGTACCAACAACTACGAACTAGGATTAACACCTGGTCTTAGAGGAGCAACAGGATTCAGATCCACTTCTGCATCTGGACAAAGGATGCTGCATGAGCCCTCAGCCAACCCACATCTGCCAGCATCAGGCTTAGGTAGCAGGAGACTCCAGGCGGCATGACTGTTACCTCCCAGCACTGACTAGAGAAAACAAACAGGTTAATGTAGAAGTCTACTGGCTGCATCAGGCAAGGAGGCTCTAAATTGTCTTGCCCTGTCAAGCAGCAAACTGATTGATTAGCCAGGGTACTCGACAAATAGCACTCGACATCTTCTCTCCTCCATCCTTTTAAAACAATTCTGTATCACTGTTTGGCAAATTCTGCTTCTTTGCAAGTAATAAGATAAAATCCTTGTAATTATTCTCCTTCCTTCCCTCCACCCTTTCTTTCTTTCCTCTCATGATATTCTATCTCCTGAGAGTAAAATCACAGAATCAAACACAACAACTCTCTTCTGAGACAAAAATCAACCTTCTCAGTCAGGCCCAACTCCTCAGGTCTAAAAATATCACTTCCTTTAACAATGACATCACAGAATGCCTGCCTTAAATATCATCATTTTTATTCACTCACCAATAGGAGTACTATGTCTCTTGGGCTCCAATTTTAGGTGCCCAATAAGAGGTGGGGTTGCGCCAGTCAATGGTGGGATTATATCACCTTCTTTAGGCAAAGTGAAATGAAATGGGGTTTCTGAAAAAAAAATAAACAAAAAACAAAAACAAAACAATGATAAAAAGCAAATCATATAGAAGTATAAAATAAGCAAAAGTGAGGCAACTGAAGAAAATATTTCAAATGCTCTTTTCTTTTGCTCTCAAATTCTGTCTTATTCCCATCACCTTCACCAGGCCTCCAAACCCTTCCCTCCACTGTCTCTGCTCTCTTTATAGCTCCAATGACAAGTCTGACACAGAGCAGAGGATAAGAGGACAGGCAGACAGGGGAAGCCCACAATGCGGAGGGCCCGAGGAACAAGGGGCCAAAGGAGCCTGAGAACACCTGTTTCTACAACAGCACATCTGGGGATACTCAGCAATACTTATTTGGACAGTCTCACAGTTTCAGACCTGGACAGTACAATCTGGCACAAGGCTAACCCAAGCAGTCCATTTGTAAGCTTTAGCACTCCCTAGGATTCTCCCCCAAGAAAACCTGATGTTAATATGCACAATTTGCCGGGATTTAGCTCAGTGGTGCTGCAGCCTGCCTCACAAGCACAAGGTCCCAAGTTTGATCCCCAGCACCAAAAAAAGAGAGAGAGAGAGGAATATGCACAATTTACAATCTAATCAAAGAGCTGACACAGGATCTCATGGGCCAACGGACTTCAAAATACTCATTGGTTCTAACCTAGAAAATCTAAGAGTTTCAGGGTTCAGCGCTGCTGACCAGCGCTCACACTAGGCCAAAGCAGTAAAGTCCATATTCAGATCTCTACACAGCAGTCACTCCTACACATATGACCATTCCCAGTGTACACATTTTGATTAGTTGTTCTTAAATCATTAAAAACATAAAACATTTGTCAAGACATGAAGCGACTTTTTTAAACTAGGTTCTTGCTCCACGTTCTTGTTAACCAGAATGAGCAAACTGCCAAAAATCACATTTTCTAGCTTCCTAACTGTTTATCTCCTTTAATAAAATGGACTCATCTGGGACAAAAAAGACTAGTCTCTTAAATTTAATATATGAAAAATTGTTATTACTTTCTAGATAACTCAAAATAACTATAATCTGGGACACCCAGTCACTACTACTTGTGAAAATAGTTTGTCTCATTCTTCTTTCTCCACTCCAATTCTACCTTTATAACTATCTTGGTACTTCTTTCCTTCAAAATTACAAAACAACAAAAATAAAAACCTCTTATGGGGCCGGGGATTTAGCTCAGTGGTTCCACCACCTGCCTTGCAAGTGCAAGGTCTCAAGTTCGATCCCCGGTACCAAAAAAAAAAAACACCTCTTATATCTACAAGAAAAAATGAATTAGTAAACAGAGGAGATGAAAAGGGAAAATGAAATAGTCTCTGGAAATAAAGGATGAAAATACAAATGCTCAGCTAAAGAAACTATAAAGAGTAGGACTGGAGAGCCTCAAAATCCATTTAACTAGCAGAGAAGAGACATCTTCCACAGTTAAGAGAAGAGAAACAGGTAGACAAGCATTAGTTCTCCAGTGCTCCTTATAAGGCAAACCTTTTAGGCCAACAAAGAACTCAGAAGAGATACAGAAATCACAAAAACAAAAACAAACCATCTCACAAAGCCTCATTGACTCCAAAGGTCAATTTCATAGGATTTTCATTCCTGGAAGAACCAAGAATAAAAAGACTACCCAGGGGCCAGGGATTTAGGTCAGTGGTTCCGCCGCCTGCCTCAAAAGTGCAAGGTCCCAAGTTAAAAGACTACCCAAATGGCTTTCTTGACAGGGACCATCTCCCACCTTATAACTGATCATCCAAACTTCTGAAAATCTGTATGAAATCTTATGCAAATATAACAGGTAAGCACTATTACTGAAAATTCTTTGCTGGTAAGATTGTCCTTTGCAGAGTACTAGGTAAGACGATTAGAAGTAATTTTAGAGCCAGGGATTTAGCTTAGTGGCTCCGGTGCCTGCCTCGCAAGTGCAAAGTCCCAAGTTCGATCCCTGGTACCAAAAAGAAGTAATTTTAGAGCCATTTAATCGATTGCATCATTATAACCTAAGAGCGTGGTGGCGAACCTCTGGCATGTATGCCACAGGGGGCTGTCTTTATCACTGAAAGCTCTACAAGGTCTGCCATCTCTGAACAGAAAGCTGAGATTTTCACTGCCACTGCCTTCATCCAGCCTCCAATGCCTCATCCCTACCACAACAGCCTAACAATCACTGTCTCTGCCTCACGGACCCCCTACTCCCCAGGCCCATTCTCTCCAAACACTGCAACCAAAGCAACCTTCCTATGAAACATGGCTTCGAACATGTTGGTCCCTTATCAAAATCTACAAGGTTTTCACTGGAAGATAAATTCCTAACTCTTTAGTCAGCATTCAATACAGTATCAGCCTATACGTCCACTTTCTTTCATTATTCCTGTTCACGGGGTGGGCCAGGGATTTGGCACTGCACCTGCCTCACAAGCACAAGGTCCTGAGTTCGATCTCCAGTACAAAAAAAAAAAATTATTCATGTTCATGAAGCCTCCATTCAATGTACTCCAAATACCTTCTTATTTCCCTGCTTTTGTTCACTTACCTCAAAATCACTATTAATCTAGTCAAATTATCTTCAAATCCTGCAAAGTACATTTACTGGACTACTTTATCCTTTTACATTTACTGGAATTTGCCACATACTCAGTTCTCTAACATTCAGTACTCCCACATTATTTAAATTATCAAGTCTTTTCTCACTTTTCCAGATTATCATGGGTTGGCTTGTTGTATGTCAGCATATCAACTGATGAAGAAAAATATGGATGAAAAATCAAAAGGAAATTTAGTAGCAACTATCCAACCATCCGTGTAGGAATCTATCCTCATGACGATGGACTTCAAAGGATTCTAGTGCAAAGCAATATCTGTAAGTCTTAATATCAGGAAGGTTTCTCCTAACTTTCTAGTATAGTTTAAAGCCCACTGTTTTATTTGTTCTATTAAAAAAATCAGGTTCTCTCTCGTTCTCTCTCTCTGTTCTTCTCTCCCTCCCTCTCTCAGTTCCCCTCTCCCTCCACACCTCCCTAGCCCTCCCACCCCCATGCTAGGATTATACACGTGCTCTACCATACCTAGCTCTGGTCACTTATTTTAATTAATGAAAAGCCATCTAATTAAAAATAGAGGAATTTCTATATTGGGTGACACTATAAAGAGTCTAACTGTCTGCCTCTGACATTAATAGCCAGTTAGGATGACATTCCATCAAGTAAACCAACAAAGATCATATATAGCTAGAGCCCCAAATATATCTAGCTTTTCTGATCGTTACTAACCTACTACAGACTGTCACTTACAGATTTAATTAAAGGTTTACTGAACTGGTTAGTTTTTCACACCATCAACCCGCAATAATTTTATTCTTTGTTGAGTAAGGTTGAGCTTCCAAGTGCTATCTTTTTAACTATGCTGTTTTCAGGTTTAGGAGATGCTCCCCATACATAGGTGTCTGCAGAGGTTACAAGTCATCTACAGATGAAAGAGACCCTACCTCTCCCTGCCTGTCTCCACTCCACCTCTCTACTCCCTCCCTTCTCCCTACTCCCAAGCCCCTCCCCTTGCTGTACTGTTTCAACATTTCTCATATTTAAGCATATGTTTTAGAATCAATAATCCTATTAATAAAACACAAAAGTACCCTTCTAACTCTAGTATCAGAAATCTAATGAATAAACCAGGGACTCACCCAACTTGTACCTTTCATTGTCTTTTCAAACTCAAGAACCATTAACTTTTACATTATTCTAATTTAAGTTACTCTCTTTTAAAGTTTAGCAACTAAACAACTACATTTTAAGTACAGGATAACCTTTTTCTGCTCTTTTTGCAATGTTCTGAATGATTTACTTTAGACTAATCCTCTAAGTTAAAAACTATTATTCTTTGAATTGCAATTTTCAGCTAAAACTATTCTATTTAACTTCTCTGCAGAAATATAATTTTTCAATCATGTCTTCATTGATTTTTGTTGTCTATTCAAAAACTAAAATCTTAAAGGGCTGGGGACTGAGCTCAGTGGCACCAAGCCTGCCTTGCAAGCACAAGGTCCTAAATTTGATCCCCGGTACAAAAAAAAAAAAACCTAAAATCTTAAAATAAGTAAAAAATCACTTAATGACATTTTCAATAATCTGGATTAATACTAGTACAATAATTTTACTATGGCAGTGTCTATAACCAAAAAAACCCCCAACTGGCTGCTATATTAATAGCATAAACTAGAATTCATGAAGAATACTATTAATCTAACTGAAGTAGTATCTGTGTTTTACAAGCTTCTTTTGCATTAAATTGTTAAGATACTTAGACAATCCATAAGCCCTGATGCTTTCTTCGATTAGGTCAAGAATGCTTTAAATATAATGAAATTATAAAAATATTCAATAATACAGAATTTTAGATCATTCAGACAGTTGTCTGCCATAACCCTTCACAATCAGAGATCACACTGAGCAGTTCTGAGGGGGAACAAGGCACTGACTTGGGAATCTGGATGACCAGGGGCTAGTCCCACCTTAATCATTAGCTGGCCACAACTTTAGGAAGACAACACTGAACCTCAATAGTCCTAGACTCCTTTTCAGCTCTAACATTTCTTGTTCTGAAGAGAAAAACAGAAATAATAAATAAATCCTGAATATACACCTAATGATTAACAGTCACACCTAGACAACAGGTATAAACTGGGACTACTCTAGGCAAAACAAAGGCATGGTCACCCATGATGTAGTGGGACCCTCAATATCCCTAGAAACTTGTTTTACTTAGATCTGTGTTTTGTTGGGTTGTTTTAGTTTTACATTATACTAACTGGGCATTCAGAATTCAGTTTGAATTCTTTTCAGCTAATGCCACATATGATGCTCTATGAATATTTTAGGAAGCAATCTATGTCCTCATGCTAGATTTCATTAAAAAAAAAACCCCAAAAAACCCTAGTATCTTCTCCAGTTAAAGATTTAAGATAATATATAAATACTGATATAATTTGGAAATTTTACATAATGCCCATAAAGGGAAAACAACCAGTAAGAGCATACTACTCCTCACAGTGATTTTTATCATATACTCAAAAACAGATCCTTGTCCTTCTAAACAAGGGTCAAAATATAAAAATACACTGGGGCTGCGGGTGTAGCACAGTGGCAGTCCGCTGGCCTACATGTGCCAGGCTCAGCCTGGTGGGCAGGGGGAACACACTGACATGACCTACAGAGAAAAAACAGACTGTACACAGTTAACTACTCCTGAGTGACAAAGCTGATAAAACTAATGATCTCTAATCTTACAAATAATTATATTAAAACAATGCAACCCCAAATCTTAGATGTCCCCAATATTACTGGTCATTCGGAAGCATGAACTCCAGTTACGCCTGCTCGGCCCTAATACAGGCATGCAGTGCCCTCCTACCTTCCATTTCAAATGGTGATGTGGTTGGAGCTCAGAAGAGTCAAGAATCACACTCACCACTAGAACTTTCACAGAAGCTCTGCGAGGCATGAGCAGGGGCCTTCTCCAGCTGCCCTGCCTCTCTGCCTGGGCCCAGCTGCTTTGCATTAGCCATTCTGGAGTCTTCTGCTAATGAACTGTCTGTTTGCTCTTGAAGCTGGGGCTGCTGCATCTCCCGGTCAGGCCTGGGAGGCTCATCATCTCTCACTAACGGCAAGGGAGGCTGTGCAGAGTCTTCCCCTACAGGTTCCTTTTCTGTAGTCACTGATTTCCGATCTCCATCATATTCTATATTCTTCTCTTCCTGGGGTTCTAGTCTATTCTCAGCACATGGTTCTATTTCTGGAGCAACATCCTCCCAGGACTGGGAATCTGAGCATTTCTCCACTCCCTCGAAAGGTTCGTAAGAAACGTCAACTCTGGGAGACGGTTCCTTCACATCTACAATGACAACACTTGAATCCTCTGAAGTAGCTTCCTCCCAAGCTTCCTGATCCTTGTGTTCTAATTCTTGGTCAAGTACGGGCAGTTTCTGGGGGGAATCAATACTAATCACACTGGTTTCAACTTCCATAGCTTCTGGGCATTCTCGTTTGTGGATTTCCTTTTGAAGACACAACACTTGGGACTGAGTTTCAGTCAAAGAAAGGTGAAACGGGACACTCTCTATAGTCTCTTCTTTAGGCTCCTCTCCATGACTCTCACAAGGAGTCTCCGGGATTTCTTCTACCTCACTCCCTGAAGATCCCTCCTCTGGATGGTGCTCTGTAACTTCCATAGCTTCCTCCTGATCTAAGACACTAGAAAGGGTCTCAGTCCGAGTAGCTGGAGAAGGAACTGCCTGACTCCCTGAGTCACAGGTGAGATCAATACAAATGTCTTCTGCTACAGTTTCTTCTGTGCCCTTGAAACCAGTGGCTAAAATACTGAGGTCATCCCTGTTCTCTGTGTCATCTCCTTTTGTTTTGTCATCAATCTGGCTCAGTTCTACTTGACCATCTGGTGCTGGATTCATCGGGATACTGTCACTTTCTGCAGGAACAAGTTTAGAACTGAGAACTGGAGACAAGGGTTCAGTATCCTCAACCTGGGAATCTTCTCCATCTTCATCAATCCTGTGAGAACTCAAGCTCTCCATCTTTGAGGACTGACTGTACTCACTTGTAGAAAGAATCAACTTGCAAGAATCCCCTGTCAAAGAGAGTCCAAGATCCTCCCTGGAATTCTTTGGTTCAATCTCTGAAGTTTTAGAACACTCAACAGTCAAAGATGAATCATGCAAGTCTCCACCTTTCTTCCCATCATTTGACTGTTCTTCCAAACTTGGTGATGGAATGAAAATGTCCTAAGAAAGAATAAAAAGTAACAAATCATCATTTATTCATAATCTTGTTTCTCTTCCATCTAACCCTTATATTCATCTATAATTTTTAGATCAATTATCCAAGGATTAAAGAACTCTAAGGACTGTAACCCCAGAAATACAAAGCTCAGCATCACATCTTTCATCTACAGAAGTCTCTCTAAGTCTCTCTGGTTCATGACTTTCCTATACAGCCACTGGTAAGGAATAAGCACAATTCAAACAAAAACCTAAAAGTACTACCTTACCCTTTTTCAAAAGTGAAGAAGATATTTAAATTTAATTGTAAATCATCAAACTACTAAAATCACATCATTATACAATGGGCTCCCAAGTATAGTACATGGGCATCACTTGGACATGTTGCCTGCAGAGCCCGTTTCAGATCTCACAAGGAATATGGACTCATTTCACTTCCTACTATTTCACAATACACTGACATTCATAAAGCAAACATCAGAAATCAAAATTAGTCAGCAGAGAAATGCACATTAAAATCACACTTAAATTCCATGAGTTTGAAAAACTCAAAAGCCCAAGTACTATACAACAACCGCAACTCTCACGCAGTTCTGGTGGGGATGCAAAAAGGTTTCTAAAGGACACTTTAGAAAACAGCATGACAGTATTTTAGGAAGTTAAATTACCATGACTCAGAAATTCTATTCATCAGTATTTACTTAAGAGAAATAAAAAAATATGTCCACACAAAGATGTATAAGCAAATGTGTATGTATCTGCTTTATTAGTCCTAACAGTCCAACACTGGAAGCAACCTAAGTATCTGTCAACTGGTGGATGAACAAGCAAACTGTGAATATACACATTATGGAATACTATTCAACAACAAAAATGTAATTAAATATTAACACATGTAAACATAGGAATAAAGCTCAAAAATATGCTAAATGAAAGAGTTCAAACATGAAAGACATATTTCATGACTCGAATCACACAAAATTCTCAAAAAAAAACAAAACAAAAAAACCCCGGGGCCAGGGATTTAGCTCCGTGGCACCGCGCCTGCCTCGCAAGTGCAGAGTTCAATCCCTGGTACCAAAAAAAAAAGTCCTGGGTTCAATTCCCAGTACCACAAAAAAAATACAAACCAAATTTATAATGATAGAAAGAAGGTAGGGCCAGGATTTAGCTCAGTGGCACCGCACCTGCCTTGGAAGTGCATCATCCAGAGCTCAATCCCCCACACCAATAAAAAAAGAAGGTAAATGGTTGCCATGGATGGAGGGGAAAGCTGGGGCGGGCGGAAATCAACTACAAAGGATTAGGATTAGGAAGGAACTTTGTAGGTTGAAGAATTTGCTCTATACGTTGATGGTGGTGATAGCTACCCATTTGTAAACACTACCAAAATTCATCAAACTTTATACACTTAAAAAGGCATTTGATTTTATGTAGATGATACTCGAATTTTTAAAATGGGAGGGGCCGGGAATTTAGCTCAGTGGTTCCACTGCCTGCCTCGCAAGTGCAAGGACCCAAGTTCGATCCCTGGTATCAAAATAAATAAATAAATAAATAAAATGTTGGTAGTCAAAAAAAAATTTTTTTAAATGGGAGAAAATAATCCAAAGTTTCGATATGTTTTTAAGAATTTACAGTTAGAGAGCCGGGGATGTAGCTCAGTGGTGCTGTGCCTGCCTCACACAAGTGCAAGGTCCTGAGCTCGAATCCCAGTAAAAAAGAAAAAAAAATTCACAGTTAGAGTATTATTCTGTCCACATAAATGCTATAAAACTCTAGACAGCTAGGGATTCAGCTCTGGTACCACACCTGCCTCGCAAGCACAAGGTCCTGAGTTTGATCCACAATATCAGAAAAAAAAAAAAAAAAACCTCTAGACATAGCTTGTGAGGCATTCATTCCATGATTTTTATAGCAGTGGGGAATAAAAACATGTAGCCAAACATTCTGTATATTTCATAACTGTGGTATTTCAATGGTTGCTATTACTATGTATCCTACCAGATTTTTAAAATGGTCATAAATTTGAACCTGTTCATACACAATCAGACATGAGAATATAAATTAGCTCAATATTTCTAAATAGCAACATGGCAACATACAATAGCTTTAAAAATCCTGTATCCCCTTTAACCCAATAATTTCATTTCCAAAAATTAATCAATGGAAGTATACTGAGATTTAGCTATTAGACTATTCACCACTACCTTATTATTTATAATAGGAAACATGAAACATTTTAAATATCTACTATAGGTTTAAAAATTGTAACTCATCTACAGGATAGAATTCTTTGTGCTACATAAAACTGTATGACAGAAGGATATTTTAAAATATGGAAAAGCAGGAGTGGTACTGCACACCTGTAATCTCAACACTTGAGAGGCTGAAGCAGGAGGATCACCTCAAGTTTGAGACCAGCCAAGCCTACACAAAGTGCATTCAAGGCATGCTTGAACAACATAGCAAGAGCCTGTCTCCAGAAAGAACAAAAACAAAAACTCTGCGGGGCTGTGGGGAAAGAGGAACCCTGCTCCACTGCTGGTGGGAGTGCAGACTGGTGCAACCACTGTGGAAATCAGTATGGAGATACCTCAAAGAACTAGGACTGGAAGTCCCATTTGACCCTGCTATTCCACTGCTGGGGATCTTCCCCAAAGAATTAAAAGAATCATACCACAGTGATATATGTGTGCCCATGTTCATAGCAGCACAGTTTGCAATAGCTAAAACTTGGAAACAGCCCAAATGCCCATCAACTGGAGACTGGATAAAGAAACTGTGGTTTTTTTTATAAAATGGAGTACTACTCAGCCATAAAAAATGAGAAATTAGAGACATTTATAGCTAAGTGGATGCACATTGAGGCAATACTCTTAAGTGAAATAAATAGGACACACATGAATAAATTCCGAATAGTTTCTCTAGTGTGAGAAACTGAAAGTGTAAATAAGGACTAAATGTATAATAGGTAATGTGAAATAGGAAGAAAAGGGGCAAAGGGGAAGGAAGTGGGAGGGCTAGAGGAAAGGATAGAAGGGAATGGGATTAATATGAGAAAATGGAAAAACAGGAACAAAATCTTTGTAAATAGGGAGGAATGGAGGGGTTGAACGGAGGGCTGGGCAAGGGTGAAAAATAAGAACCAAGAGAGATTATGTAAAGGTGCAAATTTCCAATGATGAATGTCATTATATTGTACACCTAAAATGTACCAATGATTAGAATGAATAATCGATAATGTAAAATAGGAAGAAAAGGTCCAAAGGGGTAGGGGTAGTGGGAGGCACAGGGGAAAGCTAAGAAGGGAAAGGAAAAATGATGAGAAATGGAAAAAATGGAAATAAAGTCTTTGTAAATAGGGAAGGGTGGAGGGCGTGAAGGGAGGGCTAGGAATGGGGAAAAATTAAGAACCAAGATGCATTATGTAAAGGTACAAGTTCCCAATGAGAAATGTAATTGTGTTGTATACCTACAATGTACCAATAAAATAATTTAATACAAAAAAAAAAAATTAAAAAAAAAAACTCTAGCTATGCATTAAATGCATTAAATAAGAATAGTTTCCATTTTAGTTAAAAAAAAGTATATGAATATATATTTTATTATAGCTTTTTTATACATTTTCATATAATTTTCATGTATCTTAAAATTTAAACATGACTTAAAAAGTTAAGAGTTGTAATTTCTGAGATAGGATAACTGATAGTTTTATCTTCTTTTATTTGTATAACATCTGCAAGAAATATATATATGCTTTCTTTAGTTGCAAAAAAGAATTTTTTTGGTGGGGGTTTTTTGTGGTGTTAGGATTCAAACTCAGGGCCTCACATGTGCTAGGCAAGGGTTCTACCAGTAAGCATCATCCCCAGCCCCCAAATAAGTTATTAGATAACCTAATTTAAGACACTCCTAATAAAACTATAAATACCTTTTTTAAAACAAAACGCACATAAAAGAAAAATCAACTCATTTTAAAATCAACAATTCGGTGACATTCATTAGTCACACCAATGCACAACCACCACTTCCACCCAGTTAGACATTTTCAACACCCAAAGAAAGCCCGATACTCATTAGGCAGCTATTGCCCATCATAACAACCTTTAAAGCATTTTCAAAGTAAATACTGATGTGATTTTTTTTTTAACAAGAATTTTTATAATATAAGTAGAATTTTGAAGGGCGCACAGGTAATGTGAAAAAAAATAAGAACCAAGATACACCATGTACAGGTACAAGCACCCAATGATAAATGTAAACATATTGTATACCTAAAATGTACCAATAAAATAAATATATATATACATATACATATACACACACATATATATACACATACATATAAGTAGAATTTCAATCAGTCAGAGCAGGATTCAGGGAGTTCGCCACCCAGCAACAAACTACATTTCCAAAGACTGCCTGGCTCTAACCAAACTCTGAGCGTCTGTCCCCAATTCGTCCCCAGTTCTGGGATCCCTTCAGGCTTAGTCAGAATAACTGCACCAAGTGAACAAAACCTCCTGGAGCTGGGAATAAAGACGGACAACTGACTGTGTTCAAGGCACCAACTACTAGGTGCAGACCTAAACCCACAGTATCCTAGTTAAAAGCTGGCCTCAAACATACAAAGCTTAAGAGCCCTACAAAGCTTTTTAGCATCTTCATTTTAGCACTTCTAATCTAATCTGTCACCTCTAATCTAATCTGTCATCCCCAAAATCAAGAAAAAGAAAAGTGTTAAATATGAACCTATGTTCTAATCATCTCCCCATTTCCCACATACTGGTGAAGAGTCAAAGAAGCTATGCAATTAACAAGTTTGTTAGAAAAGAAAGAAAAAACTCACAAAATTACCACCATCTCAATTTTCTCGTTTAGTAACTATCTCCTTATATTTATTTAAATTTTATAGTATCAAAATTAAATGGACTTGGATTCCAGTAACCAAGGTACAGAAGAAATAACAGATACACAATGGTTATCTACTAACAATAATA